CTAGGCTATAGCCTGGCCCCAGTTCGAAAAAAAATAGTCAGAAGTCTTGTAGCCCAATTGAAGACTGAAAACAGGATCACCTAGGAATATCTCAGTCGATTAGAAACGCAATAATAAGATTTTTTTTTTTTTTTAAAAAAAAAAAAAAAAAGGGCGTGATGGTTTTGACTCAAGACAGAAAGGAGGGGTAATGCAACCGCGACCTTTTTTTATTCGTTTCGATGGCCCCGCGCGTTTCAACTCTCAGCCTCCAAAATATGAGCTGAAGCTAGCTGGTCTGCCTTGCCCCCTCTATTGCTAGCTCTCACATTAATGTTAAGCGATTATTTTCCCGCGTTTCGTAACTGGATAATGGCTGCGTAGTTATACACATATATATGCGAGGACATGTTTTCTAGAGTACTCTAGTCGATGCGTAATGTGTACCCTTACTTAGACATGAAGGTATTACGAGTTTTTCAAAAATGTTTTTTTTATATTTTATCTGGTTTGGGAATGCAGAGGAGCCCCCGTTACCGATGCAGGTGGAGCTGGAGTTCGTTGATTAGAGCTGGAAATTGCGCGTGCGCGGGTTCATGGTATATCACGTGACTGGTGTACGATGCTTTAGGGTCTGTTCGGTTGACACAAAAATCCAATAAAAAAACACCTCTGGAGGTTATTTTATCGAGCCCATAGATTGCAACCAATTCAATGTCAACCGAACGGAGCCTTATTTGATGATGTTTTTGACCTAGTACCGTGTCAGACTGGGAATCGGGTCGTTACCATACAAATTTGGTTGTGGTTATTGCCGAGCCTTTTCGCCTCCAAAATTTGTGTGGAGATTTTAGTGCTGTTGCCATACGACCCAATTCTAGGTCTGACACGGGGTACGTGGGTGGAAGTGCCAGCGCATCACTCCCAGGGTCGAAAGGCTTTGAAAGTGGAGAGAAGTTTAAAAAAGCGACATATGAGTAGATAATTATTTCGCCTAATAACTCGACTAAATATGGTTGGGCTGAGCCATTGTGAAGAAAGGGTTTGCTACCCCGCTTCGCCGGTGGAAAATGCAGGTGATTTTATATGGGAGCTATCAATGGCAACCAATTATCATCAGTCACACCGGCCTTAGCACACCAAATTTGTATGGGGGAAAAAAGTCTAAATATTTTGCTAAGAATACAAAAAAATAACTGCAGAATATATAGCGCTGGCTCCCAGCTTCCTCTAGATAATATTTGATCTTGTGGGGAGTGTTTTTTTGATGAATGTGGATGCAAACAACAGTCAAATTGCGGTCTCGGAGGTTGCGTTGCAAAAGGGTTTTTGTATTAACCCATAATTATATAATGTAGTGCCAATGCGCAAGGCCACCATGTACAAGGTTACAGGGGCCCTGTCACGTTGAGGAATTGAAACATCACGCCAAAACCATTTTTTGGTCGGCAGTTTGCTCGAATCACAAATAGGCGTGATCATTCCCCAAGGCAAATATTTAGGAACCCAGGATCGTTACCTACAACTGAGTTTAAACCGCTGTGTCACCTTACATGAAGCCAACCATCACGTGACTGTCCCTTCTTGTTTGTGCTGCTAGCGCATCACTCCCGGCGAAGGGCTTAAGAGTAGTAAAATGTATTAAGGCGAGATAAGAGTAGGTTAATCAAGAGGAGCCTATACAGCTTGTTAATGCCTAGCGTTAACCTGAAGTTGTTGGTGTCGTTCACAATACTTGCAGAAACGACCTGTAAGAAAAAGTCGAAATTTTAAGAAATAGGATCTATAGGCATTCATCATACGTGGCTTGCAATTGTACAGATTCCATTTCTCCCATTTTCTCTATTTTGTTTTATTAAAGGACTTATTGCAATATGTCGCTGGCCTGCCCCAAAACCAGGGTTCTTTGCGCAATTGCCTAACGTTATTCTGCTATGTAGAAATTTATGCTAAAACCAGATTATGTGCCTACACAAAAAAATCGGTTTCTTTTCCCGTCGGGGGTGGCTTTTCGGTTTAGGACTGATTGCAGTACGGAAAGACCTTGTTGCGTACGACGCTTTATGTAATCTGGGCTTGGCGGGGCGTCGGCGTCTGCTTGCTGGGCATCACGTCGTGTCACTCGCACTGGTGCCAAGAATCGATGCTGTGTCTGGTTAATTAGTCCCAGCTCAACAACATCATGGGAATTAGAATTGTAGACAATGTTGGTGTGTGTGCACTTGCATGTGTATAGCCAGTTCGAATGTTGGTGTTGATGTATCTGCTTGTTCTGATTCATAGGCCATCACTCGCGCGGCATGAGGAATGTAACCAATTAGGTTAGCTCACAATTCCCCCGGGATACCCCGCCCGCACTGTGTGTCCTTACGGTGGCCCTTTATTTATCGATACTGTTCTGGCTCGTCATTCCGGGGAGAGGGGGTTCCTTGTTGTCTTGATTTTCGGACTACACGCAGACGGGGTGACACGGTTTTCTATCAACCTACCCCCCACATCAATAGTCTCCCGGAAACGTACAGAGGCTCGCTGAGAACCGACAAATAGACACTGCGACGCTGAAATACCCTACACGAGTGAAGTTGCTGTTTCTATGTCCTGCGGCGGATGCAATCGGTGGTGGTTCGGTCGGCGGGCTTGACGCCGATACTCACATCGGGCCGCTTCCCCGCGTTTAGAAAGCGGTGCTTGAATGCGGGCTACGAGGAGAGGAGGGTAGAAATAGAAGTATTGATCTCATCTCACAAGAAAACCCAGTAGCCCGAGCTTCTACTAACCGCCAAGTGGCTGATAATAGGATAATGCAATGCTCTCGTGCACTGACCTACCTTGACTTTCTCCAACGTGCGTTAAAAACTACATGTCTTGGATAAAACACTCATCCGGGCTTGGGTGGGTACTGGTGGTGGCGAGCGTTGCTCTCAGGTAAACGGGAAGCGGGGGTGTATTTCCTACCGTTGAGTAGTTATGGGCTGCGGGTGTGGGTTGCGGGGTTAGATGGCGGAGACCAGGATTTGGAGTGTCGAGACCCTATTATGGCGGGTGACGGATATCTGGCTAGCTGCGGAGAGAAACTCCCGGATGGAGTAAAGAGGCAAGAACAAAGACGACCCACAGCAAAACGAAGATTAGCCAGAAAACTAACAACCGCTAAATACCACAACCAGCAATTCCAACCACACCGGGCGTCACACAACGACGGATACGAAGCAAGAGGCGGCAATTTTGGACTCAGCCTTGACTTATCCCAGTGTCGGAAGTCTCGAGACTAAAACAAAGCTAGAGTCGAGGTATGAACCCGTACATAAGGATATAGATACGGATCTTGTCGCTAATGACTTGCAAAACATAAACTAAGACAGCAATAGTTGGTGGATGGGAACCAAAATTAAGGTGCATATGCGCACAAGATTTACGGCCAATCAGGAACATACTGCGGATCACCTGGTATCACTCGGAGCTCTCGAGACCTGTCACCTGTTTCGAGATTTCCGAAAAAAGGCCCGGAAGCTTCAAAGAAAGATATTGAGACGTCTCATCTGGTTCTAGGTCCATGCTATCGTATTATACTTCGAGGGTAAAGTCTCCGGACATTGAGTCGATCCCATGCCCATCATCATTAGGGTACATACACACACGAGGTCCCTACCCGCGCATCCCTTCTCAAATATCGAGACCACTTTTTCTCAGGCTATGTTTCTGTTTCTAGAGTTATATTGGCCAATTATGACCACTCCCGCGTGGGGTTGTGGTGTGCGTTTGGAGAAATTTTAGTCATGAGCTATCACTCGCTCTGCCGGAGTACCCCGGGGGAGAAGAAGCCTCCATAGTGCGGCAATAAAACAGGAGGTGAAAGATTAAAGAGGTCACGACTGGAGAGAACTAGAGAAAACGGGGGACTAACCCCCCCCCCCCCCCAAAACCCGGGGAGACCAAGGAAACCTCCTCCCGGCGGAACCGTAACTCGGAAGTTCAGTATGGCATCTACTATTAATTGAAACAACTATCTTGGACCGAGATTATGAGAGTCCCCAACTGTTGAGGTGTAATTAACGGTGTTCGTTCTTGTGTGGTTGAATGTTTGGCTTGCATGTCGACACAAGGTAAAGGTAATCTCAAATGTACACACTCACATAGGCGTACATACTCATATTTATAGACATAATTGTGCTACTTCTTTACAGTATTGGGGTAGGTCGTCCCAGCGGCGCCTCACCCCCCCCCCCTCTCGGGGGAGGGGGGGGGGGGTGTATGGAGGTTGAAATGACCACCGGATGGTCGCGCTTCATTCATTTATTACTATTCTCTACTCTATAAAGAAATCCGTGGCAAGGTATCATCCTTACCTTGATAAATGCCAAGTGGTCAGTTGAACTCAAAGTTGAAGTTGAAGTTGAACCAGTGTAGTGGGTTGAGGTGAATTTTGGTCATGAACTATCACTCGCGCCTCACAACCGAGAACAACTGTGTCGATTTACATCTAGCTGGGTTTTTGTTTATTTATTTATGCCGGCTGTTGTAGGACTAGGCCTTTTTTAGTGAGGGTGATTAGCTTTGGGGTTGTGGGTTGTGGATTGTGAGGGTGGGTTGTGGGGGAGAGTGATAGGTGGTGATTGGGAGTGATAGGTGGTGATTCATGGGGAGGAACGTGCCACATGGGTCCGGTTTTATAACCAGAAGTAGTAGAGGTGTAACACATGATAGTTACGAAGATGGCGTATCGGGCGGCTACGAGCCTGTTGTGTTCCGAATGTTTGGGGAGGGTATGCGCGGGTCGTTTGTCTTACGGTTGCACTTTCTTGTGGCTTGGAAACAACGCTAGGACTCGATCCCCACAATTCCACCAGCAATCTGCAGACATAAACACGTACAATTTATAATAGTTTTAATTTTATACCTTGATAAGAAAAAGTATTAGACTACAAGTATATCCTCTATACCCCTCTATCCAAAAGAATAATCAAAAATAAACCAGACAAACGAAAAAGTGGAGATGTCCAATAACCCTAACCCATTAAAAATTACCACTTGACGTCGTACCGCTTCCTGATCCGCTCGCCATACATATTAAACAGCACCGGCATCGGACACATCGCCAGCGCAATAAACGCCAACAGACTGTTCCCCCATCCCAATCCGAGCTGCTCATACATCTTGCTTCCCGCAAGCGGCAGCACCCCCCCAAGATACTCCGCAGCACTGTGTTCGCCGCCAACGCGCTCGCGGCGTACACCGTGAAGGCGTCGACAAGATATGTGGTGACGCACATGAAGGTGCTGAGGATGCCGATACCGGCAAATGTGGTGCCGATGATGGGCACGATCCAGTGCGTCTCTGCGTACGCGGCCCAGCCGTACCAGAACAGGCCGATGGGGATGCAGGGCGCGAGGTACGACATGGGGATAAGGCGATACTCGGGCTTGAGCACGCCGTACTTCTTCTTCTTGGCGATGAGGATGCGGTCGCTGAAGACGCCGGATATAATGAGGCCGGTGAGGGAGCCGACGCCGAGACCGATGTAGGCGAGGCCTACGGTGCCGGTGCTGAAGTGATATTGGCCCTCGAAGACGGTGGGGAAGGTGGTGAAGAGGAGGTAGAGGTAACCGTAGCAGACGGCGGCGAAGCTGGAGGTGGTTAGTGAGTTCGATGATCAATATGTATGCGGCGTCGAGTTACTTACATGGATAGAAGTAGAACGATGGGACTCAGAAAGAGCATCTTGATCGGCCGGACGAGAGATCTGGCAAGAATTTCGCTTTTGGGAAGTGGGCTCTCCATCTTGCTCCTCAGTTTGTCATTTCCAGTCTCCTTTCTCAACCTCTTCGCCTTTGCCGCCAGAATCGTCGGTGCATATGTCTCCTTTAGGAACACTAGCGAGAGCAGCGAAACAAATCCACTCTATTCCAGACATTAACACCCATGCGGGTAAAACAAGAGAGAGCGCGCCGCATACCAGTATACAAATCAGCCAAAACACCCATCTCCAACCCTTCGCCTCTGCCAAAAAGCCGCCCGCAACTGGCCCAATAGTAGGCCCCAAAATAGGACCAAGTGCAAACAGCGCAATCGCCGCGCCTCGCCGCTCCAGTGGTATAACGTCCGCAATCGTGCCGCCACCAATGGTCAGCGGTGCAGAGCCAAAGCAACCAGCAAAGAAGCGGAACGCCGTCAGCATGGGGAGCGATTTGGACTCGGCGCAGGCAACTGTACACCCGATGAAGCAGATGTTGGAGAAGTTGTAGATAAGGTTGCGGCCCCAGAACTCGGATGCCGGAGCGAGGAGAAGTGGACCGAAGGCAAAGCCGAGGACGTAGACAGATACGACAAAGGCAGCAAGCTCATGGGAGGTTGAGTCGAAGTCGGTCATTACCTGGGGTATTGATGGCGCGAATATAGAGGATGCTAGTGGGCTGTATGGACGATATCAATGAGGATTAGTAGAGCGGCCTTGTCCGGATAAGGGCAGCGGCTTACGTTATGAATGTGATTGCGCTGACGATACCAACAGTAAAGATCTTTCTCCACGACGGCCAATTCATGGGATTTTCGGGGTCTTCGGGGCCGTCCCAGTCGACGAGATTCGGATCGGCTTCTGCTGGTGCGTTCTCGTCACGCTGGGTGGACATGGACTTTTCAGATCCTAGCATTCCGAGTGGAATTCCCTTCTCTGTGGTGTCAATATTTCCACGGTCCGCAGTGTGAATACCGGAGACCGGTGAGACCGGAGAAGGGATATCTCCCGCCTCGATATCCTTGAGTTCAGCCATTCCTGATGTTGAATCACTAATGTTATGATTAGTAGCTGCCAGAGGAGCCCTTTTTCCGGATTATTGACGGTGGCAGAGAAAGGAGATGGAGGATAAATTCCTAGAGACTCGGGGAGAACTGAGGAATATATAGCCCTCAGCTTGAATTTGTGAGTAATGGCTGCATGAACCGGGGGAAGTCAATGTAGCAAGCAGGTGGGAGGTGTTACGAGCACAGCTCAAGCATCACATATTCCTCAACAAAAGCTTGATATAACCCTAGCTAGCCCAGAGAAAGACATAGAGAGCCGCCTAATCTATGATGCACCTCGCATAAACCCCCCGGTACAGCCACAATCTGCATACCATATCAAAATTCTTCCTCTAGGTTCTAATCCTTAAGTTTACTTGCCATTAGCGAAGGGGAAGAAGTAGAAGTGCAGCCATTCCGGCGCTCTGGGCGGGCGCCAATATCGAAAAGAGAGAGAAAACACCTTAGATTCCGGCTAGCGGAAAAACCGACATCTTTTTATTCCCAGCCTTATAGAACGAGAAAGACAATTGGCGACTGAAGTAGAATTTCAGTGGGGGCCGCGCCGGGGTGGGGCAAGGGTTTTGCCGTTTGTTCCGTGCGTGCCTCAGGTGGTGGATATGCACACACCAGGTTCACCTACCTGGCGGAGATAGAAGCTCTTCTCTCCGGATGGAGTTAGGATATATGCCTATTGACTAAAGCATTCGCTTTAATTGATTACTCAACTAGTACCCGCGCGAATCAGATATGGTGTTTGTAGCTTCTCTTTACCGCTTTGGGACCGGGGAACGCTGAAATTTAGGACATTCGTAGACATGAGATTTGGAACGTATTCCAGTCGGTGAGAGACTAGGGCCACGGAGGGTGATGTAGTTAGTTCAGGTAGGTAGGTAGGTCGAGACGTCTTAGAACAGAGCAGGTTTTGGAGGTGACCTGGTCTGAAACCGCTGCAGATAAGTCCATGGGCTCATTGTCGTCAGTGCTTTAACTCTCTCCCACTCAGAGAGATTTATATACATCTGTTGAGAATCGCGGTATTGGTGGCTTAATCTCCTAAATCCGTCTCGTGGTTTGTAATTTTCAAGGATGATTGATTATCCCCTTATTCGAACTTTTGGTGATGAAATATGTGGTATAGATGAATGCGATAAATTAGATGTCTGGATAGGTTAGTTCTCCGTACGAGCAATAATGGTATCAAGTGAAATAGCAGGGTGCGACTTCTGTAGACAGATGGGTAGTTTGTTTAGAAGTGATCAAAATCGATATGGGGAATTAGACCCTTCAAGCCCAATCATGCGGAAACCACCAAAGACCCACTATTTGAGCAGTTCAAGTCTTCTAATTCGTATTTTACCTCGTCCTCACGCACACTAATATCCTTTGTTCTCTATGAGCATCTGATTCCAAGGTTACCACGGCATGCTGCATGGAGAATGGACGGTAGAATAGTATAGAAAGCCCTCTAGATATGGCTGTTATGTTTTTCTTCTAGGATAGCCACCATATCCGACATTAGTACTATCCGACTAGTTATTTCTTTGGAGGTTCGAATTGAAAGTGGAGGCCCATCAAAGAGAGTGTGTAAAAGCATCCTAATAGTAGGTTGGCCATGTGGAGACCGGCCGGTCAATCAATAGGAGTGTGGCGGTGATCTGTATCGCATTAGATGTTGACTCTGAGTCTAAAAAGCGGGCTCCAAGAGGCTATTGCAGGTGGCATTTACAGAAATTTATGATATCCGCACCTTGTCCTGAGCTCTGAACTCTTAGACGAAGTCACAAGCCATCACTCGGGGGTCGTTCTGTCTCACTGCGGGAAAGCATGACGTCGAGGAGTTTCAGGAACTTGATTACTCAATAGATGCCGAGGTATCATGGCTACATGTACCTAGGGCCAGCCTACGTGTAAATATAAGACAGATCGGGAAGGAATGTCTGCAGACCGGTCTCGTTATAACGAACACAGGTATATAGGCGCCATGAGTATGTTTTGTTAGTACTCGACCGAATGATACTACATCTAGATAATGCTGGTAAACTACATGTAGTATCAGTAAGCATCCTAACGTCGCTTGGCGTGCTTGCCATAAATTCTCCGGGTCCTATGACTTACCTCGCATTTTTCTACCTATCCACCCAGAAAAGAATAAACCCCACCCAAAGAAAATTCGATTAGCATGCGTCGCTAAGCTCCGGCGTGGTCGATCGATCAGGACGCACACTCACTCTGCCCCGGGACATCCAAAGATTCTTCTGCCCCGAGGCATCCAAAGATTCTTCTGCCTTCTAGTAGCTAGAATACAGCGGCGCTTGATCATGATGAGATTTTTACATCGTCTCATGCCTCAAAGGAGCGTTCTGTATGGTTTCTTTCCGTAGACCTCAGTCGTTAAAGGGAATTGCACTTTGGGTGCAATTTTGTGGCTATCTCCCCACGGTATTGCGTATGCGGCTGAAATAAAGGCGACACCGAAAGATTATGCAGGGCCTACATATGCGATAGTCTAGATAGTACATAGATGCTCCCTGCGAACCTGAGGCCAGGGATCAAGGATCTGAACGTGGGCCACGGCCTCTTTAACTGGAACCGGCAATATATCCAGTGGGAATGCTGACCTCAGATATCAGTCAATCCTTTTGATAAGCTCAATACAGCTGCGCTACGCTTAGCAACACGCTGATTCGTATCCTTCATATTAGTTAAGGTTTATGATAATAAACTTTCAAAGACATACCTGCTGCATTCAGGTGCCAAACTTATGGGCTCAGGGCCTCGAAGTCGGGATCTCATGCAGCTGTGCAGCGTTCACCTTCCCCCCCCCCCCCACCCCCTTATGGCTGTATCTGCGGTTAAATGTAACTATTACATACCATTTAAGGTTGCGTTAATGATACGCTTAAGTAAACTCCAGAGTATTTCGTTTGAGGAGAGGGATGGTTAGCATGGGCTGCTAGGCCGGACACTGACCTTGGTTGGCTGCGCCTCAGTGGCTGAAATATCTGATTGATCTTATCTAATTTTAGATAACTAACCCTAGTATTGCGGTACTACTATCGATATTAACATGCTCTCACTCGAGCGTTATTGAAGAAACGAAGATACTGTCAGGTATTGGCTTCATTAGCAGAAATACTTCAACCCCGACCCAAGCGGCCCCTAATTTACCTTAAAAGGTTATCTTGAATAATTTGAGTTCACTCTAGGGACTGGCCAGTATCTATAATTTATATCCTCGCCCTACATGTAGTTGCATGTACAAAAATCAGCTCCCATTCTTATATCTCACGACTCGATACGCCTTCAGCCATTTGAATCCACTATTCTGCAAGAGAACAAAGGCGCTGGTTGCGTTTCAATGGCGAGAGCACTAAGCTAGGGTTAGGCTTACCTACGAAGAAAATCTTCTTGGAGGAGGTAGATGCTGGATGGCTGCGACTTCATTCTATTGATGATATTCTATCCTGGAGAGGGCGGTGTTCTTTCCTCTTATCCCTAAAATGATGCCACGATGCTTCTCTATAACCTTTATTTGGTCTAATGCCAAGACCTTAAGTTCACCTATACTACCGCTGCAGAATGCCACGAAGGAGACTCCATATAACACCGCGAATTTTCTCCCAAAATCTGTTTCAACTACTTGTGGCATGGCATACCCACAGTTCTGTAGATATACCTATGACTGCTCGATCGTAGTTGTTAATGGACAGCTATGTACGTGTTCAGGAGGCTCACAAACAACGAAGAAACCGGTCCAATGGAACGATCCCCTCCATGCGACAGGTAATACTATCACAGAGATAGTATCATGTTTACTTCAGCTGGTGAGGAAATGGTGACTTTGTAAATAAGGGTGATCGGAGTTCAAAATCCCGTGTTGGAGGTTGGAGTTGGGAGGACTCTCTTAGTACGCAGACTAAAAAAAACTCTGCTCTAATTAATCAGACTGGCGAATTGAGTTGAACTTTTAAGCAACCTTCGATATTTCCTGAAATTTAGATCGTCAAGTTCTAGTCCAATGTTAGGAAGGTTGCGACAAACTTTGGTTAGTGCGGCACTAAAAGGAAGTTGAACACAGTCTCTAACTCGTAAAAAAAAAAAAGCAGTTGGGAATTGGAACTTTTGGGTGCATATTGGCATTTGCCACATATGTTTTATCACATCGAACTAAAAATCCCCCTAACTCCAACTCCAACTCCAACTCGCGATCTTTGAGATTCACCCCTATTGTGAAATAAGATGTTGGTATCATAGGCGCTTCTGTCGTACTAGTACTATTTAGTCATGGATTATCACTCTATGTCCAACCCACAGATGTTTTAAAGCTTGACACACCAATTCAGCGCGTTCTTCAACTAGCTCCAGGGACACAACAACTGATATACCCCACCTTTGACTCAATTTTACCGCTGTCAGGGCCAGCGAGATACTGTTACATTGAAGTGGTGTGAAGCTCGACCCCTACAACACCATGACCGCACCCGGTTATGGAGCGCGATTACGATGGCCTATAGACCACATCTGGTACCGATCCACCATAAACGAATTTAAATACGATGAGACTCGAGAGGTCTTGAAATGGCGTCCGATAACTAAAGTACGTACGAGTTGCGACATATTCGCTTCTACTCTAATCTTTTCTTACAGATGGTAAAGGATGTTCAGTAAGGTAAAAGCCTTGCCTCCAAAGTTCGATTTTCAAAGAGGGCAGATACATCATGTAGAGATTGCGTTTATTATCATACCTCTAGCTTGGAATCGATCCCCAGCTTCTCGCCAAAACTGCAGGACTGAAGTAGCCCGGTCTCCCCTGCATCTCGGTTATTAATAAGCGAACAAGGATCCTGGAAACACCCCCAGAGCTCCTGCGAGAAGGGATCCCCCAAGAATGATCTTAAGATCAGAATCGTTTTTGATCGAATATGCTAAATTAAACAATAGGAATCCAACAATTCCGATCGGTACAAACTTGAAAGAGATGCGCTGAGTTTGGGGAACCGATGAATTTCCCCGAGAGAGAGAACAGGGGTTCAACCCCGGCCGGTAGGTGCAATCGGCTGTTGTAGTGCACAGCTACATACTTTACCGATAACAGTGTCTTGAAACCCCACGTGTAGGTACTTGTTGTGTGTTCAATTAAGCAATCTCGAGTACTGAGTTATTATATGTACAGGCCCCTCTGATTACTTTGGTTTCAAGAGCGGCGAATCGATAATATAAGGAGCATTGGGTTGTTCAAAAATCCGCTGAGCAGGCGGCTTGAAATGTTTTTACACCAGTATATTAACTGCCCATAGTCTGGAGTATGTATGGGACCACTGCAACACTCGAGCCTACCACGCACCTCCCTACATACAGTCTTACCTCTGCTCGATCTACATACTCACAACGATCAACCAGGATTAACGATAACCACCACGTATTCAACAACGTACCTACCTACACATCCACCATGGCTACCCCAATTGACAGACTCACCATGACCTCCGCGCTGCTGGCGAAAGAAGACTACGTGCAAGCAGATGCCTCTTCAAATATCGCAACGCTCGAAGCCGCGTTGACAACGCTCTCCACAAAGCGAACCAACATCAACCTCCGATGCGTCAAACTGCGGGTGACGCTCACGCGGCTCACAGTGGGCAGGTACCAGGCGCGTGTATCGCAGCAGCAGGAGCTCGAGGAGCGATTAGCGAGGGAGATCGTCGCGGGCGAGAGCGAGATCAAGGTCCATCTGATGCGACTGGAAGCGCTTAAGAAGAACGTGGCCACCGTGGAGGCCTTTCTGAAAAAGGCGCGTGAGAAGGCGGCGCGCGAGAAGGCGACGCGTGAGAAGGCGCCGGCAGGACCAGCACGGCCGGAGGTGAAGAGGAGACCGGAGGCACCGAAGACGGAGGAGCAGAAGGCGGCAGAGCTGCTGAAAGAGGCGATTCAGCGGAAGAGAGAGATTGCCGGGATTGCAGAAGCGATTGCACGCTATGAGTTTGAGGACGGCTATGGGGGACGATACATTTAGAGATGTATGGTTGTTTTTTTCTTTGTCGGAAAGGGAGTGTTGAGAGTTCGAGCAACTGATAATGAAAAAACACTATTACGACCAGGTATTAAGCTTTTCTTTTGAAGTGCTAGCTATTTCAAGGGCAAAAAGTGACAATAAGCTGATATGGTTATTAGAAACGAACGTCCAATTACTTTGAGTTGTGGTTGGGACACCAATTGACAGGAATTCAATAAGAAGTCTTAACCAATGATAAGCGATCTCCGGTAGACCAACTATCATAACCCCCCAGTTTGTAGCCCCATCATGTAGGACTAGAACAAACACTACACTAGATTAGCTCTCCATCAGGCCGAAGTCTTTTTGATTCTTATCGGATTCCTGTTTATGTAGTCATGTCAATTGAACAAGGCCTCCCTCAGGGGAGAAGACTATTAGGGGGCGTATATTTAGAAATGCCACAACTGAAAGTAAACGTCCACTATATACAGCACATAAAACGCGATATCAAAGAGTCAAGTTTCTTAACACCCGAATAACTATAGCCGACCTCTATGCACTGTAGCTGTTCCGGCAGAAGTTGGAGTAGATCTCATGAGGCTGTCAAATCTCGAAGGATGGTTTCGCGAAAGGGGTCGATATGCGCGCCGGGAAATGCTCGCTGGACTAAGCTTATAACAGATTGTACGGAAACTACATAAGTGGCTACGGTCTGAGATGGTACCTTGCGTCATATCGATCCGGACACGTGGGAATGGCTGTAATATCAGATTGGAACGTCTAAGGGGCTAGCTAGCTAGTATCACGATCAACCACGCTGGCCGGTTGCATGCGCAGCGCAGTGACAGCCGTCAGGTCTGTAAATGCACTCCGAACCTATCCCTTCTTTCTCTTCTAGTCCAACGGTTTTTGGGTATCATCTTAGGGGTACTAGCCTGCAGGTACGTATACATACATGTGCCTTCGACTTGTTTATATACGGGACGTAGGGCTGAACTAGTGTGTTTTCTATGTGGAACATTGAACGAAGGTAGACATCCTGCAGTTCGAAAGACATTGGCACTACTTTATCTGGCCTGTGTGGATACAATGGATTTCCGGGACATCTGGGTAAAGAATGGCTAGTTCTGCGGGAATATGCGTTGGGAATAGTGGAGTATATATATTGCGAAGATGAGTGGTCTTTGGTAAATCAAATGAGGCTCTTCTTGACTGTAAATCTATGGAAGCTAAACTGATATTGATACTCACTAGATACATAGTATAAGTACAGTAGCTGCACAACCGTTACCGCCTATCGCGAGGCATATATTCTCGCTCCATTTAGAGCATCGATAAGAACTTTGGAGATTCTGAAAGCTCAATGCTCCCATATTGTGCTGTATTTCTAGGCCATATGTCCATACCGTCCCGCCAGGGGCCCACCAGGGAGGTAAAAGTAAAATTCACGGCTTTGGTCGGTTGAAATTGGTTCTCATCGGTAGGATTTCTGATTACCTAGATCGATATATATTCCTTTGTCGGTGAGTCGGTGAAGCAGATCATTGACAAGCCGGTAACAGTAACCACACAACCTTCAAGCCTCCGTATTCTGCTAGCTTCCGAGTCCCTCCCCCTCCCAGTGCCGTCAACACAAACACCTCTACTGCACCGAGCTCCATAGGGAACAACCCCAAATTACCAGAACTCAAGATCAACACTCCAGATCTTCAAGGGCGGTTTCAGCAGGGGCTTCGGACATGCGACCGTCTGTCTGCATGTTTACATCATACCCAAGAAAAAGAATTGTGCCCAGAAATAGATAAGGTTTAAGTAGGTATCTTATCAGATTGCTTCACTTCTTTCTCTGACTTGACTCGCTTAGGCCCCGTTTGTTCTCGAATGTTTGGATGTTTGGTTTGGTTTGGTTTGGTTGAGACAAACCAAAACACTGGCACAGGGCAGGGCAGGGCACAGACGACAGCTCTTTGACCTGTGGTGCGCGAACCCTAACCCGGACTCTCGAACCTCTCTTCACTGCCCCAGATCTCTGCTCTGTCAAGTAGCGTACCTACAGTACGTGTGTCTATCTGTCGGTCTATATTTACAGGCAGGCAGGTACCCGGATTCAACGAGCGAGAAGAAAACATACGTTTTTACCGACTATTATATCCTCCGGTAAAACCACCCACCGGAACAAGCTTTCCTCCACTTCTGCGATATGGAGAGCTACATATATCCAATTCAATTCAATATACGCACATACAAAAACAAGTAAACCCCACTACAACCACCACGGCTACTTGTAGCTAGTTGAAACACACCCCTTCCCATGCCATAGCCCACACCGCGGACCGCACCATCCTCCGCAATTTGCCTGGGGTTCCCCCTGTCGATCTGGGATGCGCTCCTCTCGATTACATACATACATGTATGTACCTGGATCTCGTTTGCAAGCTGCCAGTGTCAGTGCCAGTGCCAGTGCTGTGAGTGCTACTCTAGATAGATAGACTAGACAACCTCCTTTTTTAACCCTCTCTCTCTCTCTTGCTGCCTTTTGGGAGGCTGTCATTCGCTTTTTTTTTTTTATCACTCGATCGTTCGTTCGTTCATTCATTTATTTAATTGCTTTTTTTCTTTCTTTTTTTTCTTTTTTTTTTTGAGGAGAGTTGGTTTGCAATTTGGTATTGCTATTAGACTTCACTCAGCTGGTCACTCGCCCTATCGCCCTCTACCTACCTATAGCTACTATTACTACTAGCAACCCACCCAACCTCCAAACCTTACAACAAACACACACACGCACGAAATGGAACAGACAAAGCTCCTTGCAACCATCCTCGCGGCCCTGGTCGTATTTATCGTCGTACTGATCCTGATACTGCTATTAATCCGGAGAAAGAAGTCGTCAGGTTAGAATCACCCCCCCCCCCCAATCCCTCAATTCACAACTGCAGTGTGTAACTAACATGAGTTATGGTTTGACAGGAGGAGGAAAAAGCGGAGAGTGTTAATCCGGGCCGGGCTCATCATGGAAGAAGATGAAGAAGTGGTTGATGTTGGTGTTGGGGATCGATAATGATTATTGGCCATGGGTTTAAGGGGTTAACTTCGCGCGGGGGGTTTTGCGGTTGGCTGGCTGGCTGGGTTGCAATAATGGGGGCATACGTTATTTTTTTCGATGGGGCGGGTTCGACGGGAAATGTGGGGTGGAGAAATTGGACCCTGCATTAGACCGACCAGATATGTTCATGCATCGTCACGCTCGATAATGCAGGAACCACCGGCAGCCCGATACATGCACCTTCACCGCAGCTGCGCAAGCCTTATCTTATCCAAGCACCTCTTCATGGCTAGCCTACGTATCAAACCTCGGTTTCTGCTGTTTCGTTCGGTACTCGTTTCTTGCTTTCGGCTCCTCTTTTTTTTCGGTTGATCATTCGGCTGGCGTCCGGTTCTTTTTTTTTTTTTTTTTTTTTTTTGCCATCTCTCATTTTTTTTTGCATCGCTTTTCTTATTTCAATCATATCGGGTCTTCTTCTGGTTTTTTCATTTTTTGGTCGGGGGTTGTATATTACTGTTACTGTTTTATTGATGGGATTGGGATGGGATCGAGGGGACTGACTGGCTAATACCTACATGTACATGTACTACTGGTGCATGGTAATGGACGGAGCACACACTACAAATACTATTCTTACTTGATCAATCATTACCCCGGCCCGGCCCCCGTGATATAATCAATATCTGACTGGGAACAACTTCTCGCTCACTCAGGTATCGGGAGAGGGAAGGGAGACGATGGTTTTTATTCATTCTAATCAAGCGTATCTGTGTTTGTCATCCTTGAAAGTGGGACTTGGAGTCATACGCTTCATTCAGTCCGTCCAAGGATCCATCTTTTTGTCCGCCAGCTTCATGTTCTCGAAGCACCCTCACTGTCAACTTCACCCATTTTCTCACTGATCTATTTGGCATGCCCCACGCCTACATTCTCGTCATATGTGGGGGGACACGGTACAAAGGTCTCTACCTCCCCCTACCTCCCGCGGCGGGGTGGCTAGGCTGATCAGCACTCCACCGAGTCCCATCGGGAGAGGAGGAGGGGCACGATCAATATGGGCGGAAGGACAACCGCGCATGTTGAGCATTGCTGTGGTTCAGTTTCCTGTTTGGGAGTTGATAAATAATGTATGATGATGGTTCTTTGTTTGCAAGGTCGTCGAAACTGATTATGATATGAGGCCCAATGAGGCTCCGACGTGGGATATGTAGGTCTCCTCCTGCGTACTACATTCCGTCTCGGCTACCTATAGACTTCGAGGTCAGTAGATATGGCCCAGACATATGTCCGCCGAGGTGATATAATGTTGGGCATGAAATCCCAAACTCGCAAATATTTGAGGCTCCTAAACGGAGCAGCCCCGTTACTGCATGAAACGCATCCGCAGCGCGCCCGCAGATGTCCTTTGGGTCGGACGCTTGTGAGGCAGGTCATTCGGTACTTAAGTGTTATATATATCACTTTCATCATAAGTGCAATAATTAGTTGAGGAATTAAATCAACATCCTTCCATAACCAGAGAGAAACAGAAACAGGGCTAGACCCGAGTATAAACGAGTGGGAACACCGAGAACCGAGAAAGGAGTTGCAGGTTTCAATCGCCTGAGGCGCACCGCAGACGGCTTGGGGCAGGAATAAAGTACGGTACACTGCAGGTGGGCGCGCGTGCTAGGCGACAGCTAAAGTTTGCCTGCCCCGGGTATCCGCGGTGGTTCATCCTGATGTCCGCCTGTATGGACTTCTCGCCCTGGTACGCCCTTGGAACCGGCCATAGGAACTGAGGTTGTAGGCGCGCCTCCGACTACATACCTACCCCTTCCTTCATTCTTGGCATCGTCATGTCTCATAAACCCCACAACTGGTTAAAGGATGTACGAGACAAAGATTTTGATATCAGGAAGCGAGTTGACTTCGCACATGGGCTAAAAATGGTCGCGGTCCTGGTCAGCTGGAAGACAAGTGCAGAACGATATTGAAAGATTAGTTTTGACGTGCATTGGGTTAGTCTCGGACACGGTATGGGGGCGGTGAACGGGGTTGGTGAAGTATATCGTAAGTAACAGTCCATTGCTATCGTTTCCTGTATCACGGCGTCAGGATCTGGTTGAGCAATACGATTGATCAATGCTGAGGGACAGGAGAGATGTCTGCGTTGAGTCGCTGATTGAACGTTGGTTGAGCGAGGCCAGCGTGGGTAAAAGCTTATCACGCAGGCGCTATAGCCTATACACGCCCCTGGTAACACAATGTCTCGAACCAGACGCCTGGAAGCCTGAAAATCAGTCGAGCCTAGTTGTGTTTATCTTATCTTGACATCGGTTCCTTGGCGGGAAACATCGACCTTCACACCAGCTTGATCTGTGTATCACGACACTGCGGTGATTTCCTCGGGCTGCTCGGCTTTCAACTACATATCTTAGCATGAATCCTTATCTGATTGAGACCTACATCTACATCGTACTCCCTTCCAAGAGTCACCCTTGGATCCAACTTGAATGTTCTTCTCCGTATGGTCCACAATTGCCTTGTGGTGAGTCAGTCGATTGACAAAGAAGTGGACGTTTTATTGGTGTGTAGCGATACTCAAGTGGGAGAACCAAGGCTGAAATTACATCCTTGCTAGAGAACAAAGCCTGTGACATGTCCAAAATGCTCCTACGTTCAAGCCAAACATTCGACCAGCGTCCCATACCTAGGCACCAACAGCGAAAGCAATAACAACGACCGCGTCCTCCTAATTTGGCTCTTAGGATCGTGAAGCAAAAGAACACGCAGTCTGCAAAGTTCGCGATCACCAACTGCCACCACTCGTACAGCGCTCACAACACCCATCTCTGACAGATGAACGTCAAATAGAATGTACGTCTTGTACATCATGGTGGATATGTTCCGTCAGAATGCCGTTTTGCCGAACCAAGTTCATGGCTGGTCACTCGACCGGCACGCTCGGTCGTTCCATGCCCAGGGTGCTTTCTATTGGTGCGTTGAGCGAGAAGTTTCCAAATAACACGATAGACGAAGCTGCTGACCTCCTTACTGCCTATCAGGTGCCTCTATCAATTGAGACGGCTCCCGGGGGTGTTGAGCATTCAAATGGATACCGTTCTGGACCAACTCTTGAAAAGACAAAAGTCGGTAGTTAGCTACGACGAAGTTTGAAAGTGTACCTTTACCTGTAATTCTTGCTGCTTAAAAGGTCCCCTTCACTGCTTGCAAGTTCTAGTGTCTTCCTCAGTTACCAGCAACATCACCGTCCACCCTCAATTATTCAACCAACAAAATCTGCTTCCCGATTCCACTGAATATCGAAAAGATGACTAGAAACCAAGATAAAGCCTGCTTTCATTTTGAGTTAGATCTTCGAGGATGTGGCCCACGCACGGAAACACAGCCCCAACCCCAAACCCAACCTCCACCAAAGGCGGACAGCCGTGGGCGTAGGGGGGAAAGAGGGGACAGCCACAGGAAACACACCCGACACCAGTCAGACCTTAGAGCTGAGTCTCCCCCAATCGCCATCCGTGCTAGAACTCGGCCTCCGGCGGTGGAGAGGCATGCCGCAAAACACCGGGCGCCTTCAAGAACCCGTGCTCCTTCAAAAACCCGGGCCCGCTCCCCGGTTGCGCCCGTCGTATATTCACAGCAAGAGGAGGTTCCCATCACCCATCAAAAACGGCCTAGACAAGTGCACCGCCGTGAAACTGCTCCAGCCCGTCCAGAAGAGGCAACAGCCCCACGCCGCCGTAACAGCTCCTCCTCCCGTCATCGGGATGGCGATCCTATGGCCTCACGTGGTTACGCTCTCCCTCATGGTGCCCAATTTCAGGGGTGGGTTTCAGAACGCGGGTGGAATATGAACTTCTTCACGGAACAGGTTCCAGCACCCCCACCGCCACACCATGCATGGACACCAGAACATAACGACAATCCTGCCGCACCACTAAACTGGGCCACCGCGAGCGTGCAAATACCTCCACCACCACCTCTTCACCGCCGGTACACATCGGATTATGCCAGTCATCCTGATCCTTCCCCGCCAGGAGGTTGGTATGACGACAGTGCTGCTGCCGAGCCTAGTACTAGGGAGACTCGTAAAGACCCTCTGCACCGTAACAGAAACTTCTCGAATGCGGTGGAGACGGAAAGACCAGCGGCCAGAGAGAGTCGCAAACGGGATCACCACAGGCCCAGGACAGACAGTAGTACACGCAAAGATACGCACCAGAAGCGCGACCATGTGCAGGGCCGTGCCGAGCAGGGTACGCATTATAGTGCCCGGTTTGAGTACGTTCATCCTACGCCCGACGGGCAACCTGGTGGCTGGTACCACCATGGGGATTTTCCAAGCGCACACACTACTTACCAATACACCTCCTACGAGACCCATTACCAGGCCGATCCATATGCCGATGGCATTCATTATGACTTTGAGCAGCCGTCATTCCATACATATAACGAAGGTATGGGTTATGGAGAGAGTAGCTATCCCCGTCCATCTGCTTCGCGCGGGGACTACCAGGAGCACAGTGGGGACTACCAGGAGTACCATGGGGACTACCGGGAGCACCATGGGGACTACCGGGAGCACCACGGAAGCAGTGGAAGACATAGACATGAATATCCATCAAATGGTGCGGCTGAAGCTGTACCGCCGGTAAAGGACTTGACGAAGCACTGGGTTGTATTAGGGCTCCAGGAGGGTGCAGATGAGGCGGCGATTAGGTCGGCGTATAAGAAGATGGCGCTGAAGTGTCATCCGGATAGACAGGTGGGGAAAGACGAGAGAGAGAAGGAAAGGATGGAGGAGCTGTTCATCAAGGCGAAGGCTGCGCATGATACTTTGTTGAAGAAGTAGGATGATGGTTGGTGTAGTTGTTTGCAGTGGTAGGGGCTTCGAGATATGGGAGCGGTGTTCCTTACTTTTTTCTATGGCGCTAAAGTGTGTTTTCTATAGGCTGATAGGCTGGTCTTCTCACTGGTCTGACTCTTCAGTCTTGGCGTTGGTGTTTCTTTGGTTGCGGCTTCTACCCCGGTTTGGTATACAATCACTCTCTTTGGTTCCTTTTCCTTTGGTTATGGGTACGGTTTTTTTTATCTTTCTCATACTATGGCGTATTTTTTCTTTATCACATTCTTTTGTGTGGTTTTTTTTTTCCTTTTCAGGGGCGTTTAAGCATTTAGCAAAAAGATAAAAATATCAGTCGTTACCAATTATAAGTCCCGATGAAACATATACTACCGTGACCGTATTCATTTTCTGCTTATCATTGAATAGAGATATAGAACCCAAATGGGTATTTCGCCTTAGAAGCCTGTCTATTCATTCATGAGAAATCACTCGTTCTTGGCATTTACCTGATGGTGTTCATTCCTGCATTCATTACATTCATTAATTTAACCTAAGTCTGCTCATCCTCCCCTACAAATCCCTGTTTAAGACCCCAATTTGCTGGCCTTGAACTGAGCGAAGAGGTGTTTGGCATATAGTACCAGTCGAGGCTATTTTTGCTTGGGCAATGGCTCATTTACTTCTAAAACAACTGATCACATTCATAAAACTTATGAGGCGTCGCAGAAGAGACGGCGCTTTTGTTTTATGGCATCAATTCTTTACATCCGGAAACAACGGCGGATCCAGACACTTGGCTTGACCAAGCGGGGTTGGAGGTGCTGACTAGGTGGTGTATAGGGTTTGAATATCCCGTTCAAGTTACCTAGTGAGCTTTTAGTACCTAGATGGCTATGCATGGCACAGGAGAGAACTTTCGCCAAAATACTTCACTAACCCTCCGCTATTAATAGAAGAGCGGCTGCGCATAGAAAACGGGCGTAGAACTCTATCACCATATATATTTATACCGCCATATCACGTGCTGCTAGAATATGAATCCCATGATACTTCACTTTCAAACGTACCCGTCACTCTTACACTGTCATAAGCCCTAGGGTGACCCCAACCCCGCCAACAGGGCAGGGACTGGATCAAGACAGTGGAAGACCCGGAGCCTCCCAGGGCCATTACTATTCTACGCCTAGTAGAAACCCAACCATCCCCACTGCAACAGCTGGCTGCCTGACAAGCACATTTTGGAGTGGCCTGTCTACTATTCCACAACTGCAGATCCGAAGGTCCTATGTTCCGGGATAGGTGTAGGAGACGTAGGGGCGGGGGCGGGTGTGGGGTGGGGTAGAGAGTATAGAGCACCATGGCCACCGCAATCCCACCCGGAAACCAGAAGTGTGTATCGGTTACATAGAAGGTTCACTGCTGTTTGTAGAAGGGAGGATTGGAGTTGTGTGATTCAAGAAGTTCGAGCGAGTTGTTGGGGGGTGAGGATGAAAGGCGGCAGGTCGCCCTTCTATGAATTATGTAAAGCTCGAGATTATCGGTACCCATTTTTTGCATGCTTAGAGATTGCGATGTATCTCCTCCGCGTAGTAACCTGCAATTAATAATACCTCTAGCGTGATTAGGAGGATCATGTTTCGTCACTCACATGGACATATGAGAGTCTTTTCATGGACTTATGAAGGAAGGATGTCGACAGTACTGTGGGATGCCATGTGGTGGCAGAGTTTCCTCGCGTTAGAGGATCTTCCTTCTGCCCTTGATTTCATGGTACAAATATTTCGCCCAAACCCTCCACGAAAGATATCAACACGCTCGAGACCAGATATGACCACATATCCCCAAAGTACCACGAACTCGGCAGTATCATTTCCTCACAGTCATACGGTAGACTTATTCAACTAGGAGATGTCATTATTGACACGGAGGGGTAGGAGCTTGAAGAGCGAGATGAGATGAAACTTGAAGAAACCGAATTCTGGAGGTGGGGTAAGAAAGCTCGAGGGACGTGGTAGGGTTGGAGGTAGAAGACTTGTAACTATGCAACTGTATGGAGTAAAGTACGCACCAGATTAATGCTGTTTGAATATCGATAGGATTAGAGTATCTAGATAAATGTTAGGATGGATTAAATACTAGCACTTATAGGCTCAGCCCATCCCTAATAGTATGCTCCTGGGCTGTGGGAGCAGGAGTTACGGTAAGTGGTGATATAGGCGATGTGAAGCTGGAGACGATGGCCGAAGCGCCTGTGAGAGGCAGAGGTAAAGTTGCTACTTGCAACGGCCGGAGAGCTGCCTGTCACCAGGGAGCGGGGTATTTCAGTTGAGAGGAGTTTCGAGATGAAAGTGACACATGAGGGAGATAAAAGCATCCGTGGAACTGGAAGAGCTTTGTAGGACTATACCACATGTGTTTAGGAAAATCAAGTGTTGGTATTGGGGACGTGAAGATATAGGGCGCCATGTAAATTCTAGGGACATATCGCGGGGTAGCGAGGTTCGAGCTAGATTAGGCCATCGGAGCCTCACAGCGAGGACAATAGCATCTTCCATGTGTTCGGGTGCTTGCTACCGTTGTAGAGAAACGTAGCTAAAGTGCGGGCGGGAAACAGGTGGCCCGAAAGGGCTATAAGTTTCGATCAATGTCACCTCTTCTCTCGTTCATCGTCATTACAATTCCAGTTGTTCTTGTCCGTCGAGAAGAATCGAGATGTGAAGAGCAGCTAACAGCGCCAAAACTTATTTCTCGACTGGAGTTGGAGATATCGAGTGATTTTCCATGATTAGCAACGCACACAAGCAGTTCGAATATGAATGTCCCAAGATAGGAGAGCATCATAGAAATATCTTCCGCGACCGATTCTATGTTTCTTTCGCAAGCAATCCTTTCCCCAATTCAAGGAACTCCGAGTCCCTGTTGCTTACCACAGCTAGCAGCAGACAACCCCCCTATGTTGTCCACAAGGTACACGCACAAGTTCTTTTCCGTCTAATATATTCAGAACAATCAACAACACAATCTCTACATCTGCGCATAATACCGCACTGAATAAATTTTACTAACTAATGCATCCTCCTTCAGGCTACTCTCTACAAAATCGATAGAGACGAGACTGATTTTGCTTAGACCTCATCTCGTCTGTCACGATCGTCTTATCCCCACCCCTACTATTGCACTACTTCGAACGGAAAGCTGGGTTGAAATATGCAAACTAACCTAAGATGTTGTTTAGGAATGACTGGCATCACTCCGAATCGACATAACAGTCTCGAGATGTCTTGTAGAATCGGAGGCTGCTCTCATCATTTCAGGCCTCGTTTGGTCCATTATCCTACCACTACTACTCAAATAAAAGATAGGCCTAGCTACACGCACATCCCAATCCTACATGCAAAATTTACACACCTACGCTAACCCACTAGCTTACACACCGAGTATCAAACCATTCACCCTACCTGTCTGCTTAAACCATTAATACAAAACCTCGGGCACAACCAGCACCCACCGCCATCAACCACCGACAAAACACCCCAAAACCCGCCCCATCCCACCAATACTCTTCCCACTACTACTGCCGTCTTTAAACGTCGGCCTCTTCACCGGCGCTACAGGCACCGCCGGCCTCGTGGCCCCCATATTTGTATCAACCCGAATCACTGCTGGCCGCGGCCCTAGCATCGCACTACCCGCTACTGACCGCGGCGATGTCTCCAGCTTCGGCAATGGTACGGGCATGAAGAAGGAGGGTCGGTGTGTCGTCGCTAGCGGCACCGCCGTGCGTGACATGTTGTGGAGCACTATCGGCTTTATTCGATTCGATTCGATTCAGCACAATCTTACTATTACTATACGTGGAGTGGCACCTACAGTGGCCCGATGCCCTACTTCGCGCTTCGTGACAAACGCGAGCCCGCGGACGCCGGCGGGCACATCGAGGTAGCTGGCGTGGTCGCGGGAAGTTTGGGTCCGGGTGATCCGCGCGCCGAGATGGGAACGGACGGTGTTGGTGGATATGAGGAGGAGGCGGGGGGCTATTATACTCATTTTAGGGAGCGAGCTAATTGACTAGTAATCTGGCGCAGACGAGACATGTGGGAGCTTCGGGACATATGACAGTTAAAGGGAGGTGGGGTGAGGCTTAAATATGCAGTGGGGTCTGGGGAGTGTGGTCAGTATGCGGAGGGTGGCATTTCCGACTGGGGTAGCAATAGGAGCTGCACTGTGTGACAGGAAAACCACATTCCGGTACCGCACGACATAGGTAAGCTGAGGCTGGATACGATTATTACTTGAGCTGCCGCTAAGAAAGTCACGGGTACATACCTACTACAATATTCACGGATCCCTGCCTACCCTCATCTAAAAGGAGACAGTCGTTTACGGCTGATTATCTGGTATTCAGATGATAATCTTGGTGGTTGAACGTCGCGTTGCGAGGTGGGGGGATACGGACAGAGTGAGGAGCTTATTGGTTAATAGGTACATGAAATCTGATAAGTTCCTAGCCCTAACCCACAAGGCCTTGTCTTTCGTCCCAACTAATTATTACCCATTTCGTAACCTATTAAATAGATGCTAGGAAATGTCTTAAAAGAGCCTTATTCGGAGACGAGAAGGCATGCTTAATTGCCGATTTTGAGCTCTCCCCGGACACAAGTTAAAGCAAAAGGCAATAAGATTAATTTTGCAGAAGATCATATACAATTGCAAGTCTATCAACAGTCTTATATATATAAAAAAATACATATGAAAACCCCAACCGGTGCCTGCCGTCATCGACCGCCAACAAAACATGCCAAAAAACCTTCCTCATCTCACCGAAAATCCCATTACTTTCCTCTTTGAGCGTCTTCTTCACCGGGGCCATAGATACCACCAGCCTCGGAATACCTACACTAGTATCAACCCTAATGGTCACTGCAGTTGGCTGCTTCACCAACATCGTAGTCTCTAATACTGGCTGCGGTGATGTCTCTATCTTAGGAAGTCCATGAGCGGGTATAAATTAAATAACGTGCATCGGTGCGGGGCCGCCGTCGGCACCGATTCGTGTGACATATATCGGAGCGCTGTCGGCTTTGTTTCAATCAGCACAACCCTACCTACAAACGTGACACAACACATACATGTACAGCGACCTTATGCGCCAGCTCGCGCGTCACTACAAACGCGGTCCCACGAGTGCCGAAGGCGTTTGCGTGGGTACGAGAAGCACCGATATTCCGAGTTATCCCAGGGTAGAAACGGGACCGGGAGGGGAGGGTACTGGCAGTCATGAGTAAGAGACGGGGAATAATGGCCATGGTGTTCATTTTGTGTTTGTTGGTATAGCTAAGTATGCTGTTAACTAGTATTTTGTAGCTGGTGACACAATATGTTTGTTGGATCCATGGAGCTCGGGGGAGCATGGCCTTTAAATAAAGGTGGGGCGAGGCTCAAATATGCAGTGGGGGGGTCTGCACCATATATGCGCAGGGCGGCATGCGCAGGATTTTTCGTTTCAGGTTCTGATACGATTGGAGCCAAATCATACATACCTGAGTCTCTTAGTTCTTGACGGTGTGAAGACCCAGTCGTGTTTAGACACGTTATGAAATTATGAGACGTAGAGGAGCTAAGTGCACAAGTTTTGGGTAGCAGTTGAGAAACCATTGCCATTTATACTACGTACGTATACTTATGTAAGTTGAGAGTGAGACACAATTATTCGGTGTAGTTGAGTTGATGTACGTGTTAGGAAAGTTACAGAAACAATAGGCCTACAGTACCAAAAAGGGACTGTTTACAGGACGGAGAGGTGACTGTAGCCTTCCTGGTGTTTGATGATCATGACTCCGCGGATCCGCTAGAGAAATACATGTATATATTGTTAGAAACATAACCACTGGTATATAGAGAGTATATTCTTCACCAGAATGCAGCATTCTTACTATAAGAATGCTGGTCTTTTGGTGTAATCAACTCTTCGAATAAGGGTATCATTATAGAAACCACCTCGCCGTACCCTAGATCTTTAGGAATAAGTATTTACAATCGCTTTCAAATGATATATTAAAGCCTTGCGAGTCTTGAAGTCTTTAAATAAGAACTATGTATAAGGTAACTGGAGTAAAAAAACAATCAATCAAATGCAGGCCACGACACACTGCAGTATGACATAAGATACTGCTGTACTGATCTTCACTTCAATGTGCTTTGGGCGGTCGCGATCGGGAACACCTTTCCGCCATACATCTGGGACTAGCCCGATCTATGGGCGAGCATTTGTAATAGGTAGGTACAAAAACTCAGTATTTTGGACAGGTATATTATATTTAACTCCTGAATTCCCTATATTTTGAAGTTTCTATCCAAACCGTGTAGCCAAAACCCTTTGATGTAGATTTGAATCTCATCTGTCAATTTCCGGGCGTATTGGAGGTTCCGGGGGGTCATCGATGTGGTTCGGGGGTCGTTAAGGTTGCTGGAGGTTGAGCTACATCCTTGTTAGTTATTAGCGATGAACTATTTACCTTAAATTTCCCTGGGGCTGTTAGTGGGGATAGGCTTATCCAATCACAGATATATGGGGCTGGCAGTCTATTCACAAATACCAATGAGCCATTCAAATTCATTCCAGAAACTGCCATAGTTGTACTATTTTGGCTTAGGAAAGAATACAGTGTTTATTGTATGTATGTATCACAAGCCTGAGTATTACAGCCTCCCAAAGCAGCTCGGTCTTTAATTTTGGCACTGTATATATATGGAGATGCTCACAAGTTTCAATGATCGATCGATTTTGTTTGCATGATAGAAAACTACAAGATCCAAATCCCACCTTCCTTCCTTCCTGCCTACACTTGCTGCATCATACCTTGTTTCCAGTATTTGGCCTAAAGTGGGCCGGCCTCTCTGTAACCTTCACTGACGGACGCGGGCCATTCTTGGGGACTACTAGTGCCTATGTGGTATTTAATTCCAAGTCAGTGAGTTGAGCACTATAATGTATGCAGGAGGTATAGAATGGGGGTGGATAGAGCTTGTGTACGGGGGTCTTCTTCTCGGTGACTCGAGGTTTGATGATGACTACCACCTGTCGCGAGTTAGTTGGGGAATCTTATGGGAATTAAATCATCTCTGGGTAGATCTAGAGGGTAACCAACCCTCTTGCCAGTGATTCTGTTCGGCATTTTGAAATCGGGGCGCTTTCTGAACGATATTTAATTTATGAGTGAGTGAGAGATTGGGTTTCGCAAACAGCTAGTTTATAGCTCCTTGACCTCTCTCCCAAAAAGCGGAGGGAGAAACAGCCCGCTTTAAACCCCACAGTAACAAGGCCACCAAGCCGATTATTGATCAGGAATATGGATTGATTTCAGGAAAGGCAGATTTGAGCCCTCTGTATTGGACGGCTATTGGATGATGATCTAGTGTCGCCAATGATCAGTCCGGCAGGAGTTCGGCGGGTTTGACACACGATACCGATATGGGCTGGCGGGCTATGCATGTTTCGATTCGCTCGCCGGGAAGATATGCACTGCGTTGCGGGATCGCCGTGAATGGTTTGTTTTCTCGGGGTGTCCGATGGTGGTGGTGGTGGTGGTGGGCTAGCTAGCTCTGTAGCTTGAAGTTGGGGGAGTTCGAAGTTGCCATTGGTGGTGCGAGTGAGCGAGGCTCTGGTCTGATATATGTACTACCTTTCTGTGCCTTGTGCTACTCTACATGTCATATATTGATTTGTAGCTAGCGCTACGATTCGATTCGAATTCCGGGGCCGTTGGGTTCGATTCGGAATTAGACTGGCGGCGGGCCGTTACATACATGTACATGTGTGTGCTTTTGATTCTGGGCTGGCTACTTACCCGCTCTGGGACTAGGCTAGCCGCTGTCTTAATGTCAACCTCGACATCGATCTTGGATCTGCTCGTGCTGTGGATTGCATCATTCTCACACAACAAAGCACCGTTCTTTTTGGAGGTGATTGTATTCTAGGATTCAGCTTTTGATCGCGACTAAAATGCGGACCAGGACTCCGGGAGAGCAAAAGGATACCGTCTGGCCAGCTGGTCCTACATACATGGAGGCGAAGCCTCCAGCTTCTGGAAGCCTGATCGTCTGAGGCTGTGGATCTAGGATATCTATGGACAGATAACCCCGTATTCGGATCGATCGTCCTCGCCGTTCTACGATACACACATAACCAGCAACACAAGCACAGCATTCTCATGGGTATAGCCCCAGCTCACACGACATGGCAAACGCCATCCGCATAACTATGACAGGTGAGGAAAGTGCCAAAGTCAACTTTTTCCAGTAAACCAATAATCCGTCTTTCTCCGCTAATGCAAGGTTGTTTCTAGGCTGCAATCACCCGGGAGAATGGAGGTGTTTGCAGTACTAATTCTTGGCGCTGGAAGATCGCTATGCGTGCGTCTGGGATTGATTGGAGTAGGCTTGGGTGTTCTTGGTTAAGCAGTGGCGTGATGAAGGTGTGGGTTTGGGCTTGGGCAAGCGGGGTCTGAGTGGGGGGGGGGGGTCTATTTGCTTACCAGCAAATGAACAAAAATTGCAGTTGCTCAAGATAAGGATAATTTGTATGAAGTGGAGCCGCCGTTCGCTCGTACAACTTATCTGTGTTTCTGTTGGTTGGAATTCTGGTTATTTTGCTGGTAAGCAAATACAATACAGGGAGGCCTGATGTGGTGTAGGGCTTTTGTGCTTGGTGGCACTCCGTATGCGAGCATTGCCGATAGTAGGACGACTAAGCTTTCGGCCACCGGAGGGAAAACGTCGGACTCTTGGGACTGGATATGATTCTATATTGATCATGAGTTCTTAGGACGGGGAACGATAACTGAGTGAGCAGGATTAAAAGTACGTACAATTTCATGCAGGTGCTTTGATACACAGTGCTGATTGGAATGATCCATAGTCCCGGGTTTGATTATGGATTCTTGTTGTCTAGTACACTCCTTCGCTATTTTATGGCAAGTGGTTTTCGTGTCCCCGGGATGTAGCTCATAACTCATGAAAACCCTGCTAATAGGCTCTCATGATACGACCGCCTTCATATACGGCGATGACCGACTTTACAATGTCGCTGATATTGGTGTATTCCTGATGGAAGGATGCTTCCAGATGGCATGATAACAGATCTAGAAAAGCCTGGAAATTATAGAATATACCTATTCGAGAGGACACATGAGCAACAGACCTCGCCCTATGGCGAAACCACGCATACAGTAAAAGTCCCTCCTACGGGCAACCGGTTACCAAAACCATGGAGGATGATTTCTTATGTCGGAAATACGGGCCGCCAGTGATTGTCATCTCTCCTTCGTATTTCAAGTAGTTCGCTGTCAATTTTTTCCTTCGTCTATGTTTCTCTGGGGTTGTGTTTCTGTTCAACAGGTCGGGGAGAGGTGCTTTTATGCCATAGTCTATGACTGCATGCAGAGTTTTGTACCTCGAACCAATAAAACTACATGAGTTAGGGGGGGGAAAAAAAAAAGAGAGGACACATGAGCGAAGAACACGTACGAATCAATTACAAGCGTGACAACAGATAACAGGTGTCGTGGCTTACGAAGGATTTCCTATATAAAGCAGTCACAAACCCCTTTAATCTTTCATTCATCCGACCTTCAACGAATCTAACACTTACAGAGTCATCTTGGTCCACGAGGATCCTGCCGCTCAATGGTGTCGGGGCACTGGTGCACAGGTTCTCACTCGGGTGTGATACTTCTTGGCATGGACCCTAGTAGTTGAGCCTCATACTCATGGTCACTGACAGGACGCGCGGGTTCCTGCTGTTTCGGCTTTTTCTTCCGTAGGAAAGAGGGAAATCTGTATGCAAACGAGTAGACGCATGATTGTTTCAAGTGTCACGCTATAAACACAATGGCCGCGTGTTGCACGTGATGCGCGCGAACAGTTGACCGATCGATTGATTGAACCTGTTCTCTTTGCACATGGATTGTGTTAGACTTTACTTGTGAGTTATTTACCATCTACTTTATTCGTGGTTATTGATAATTTAACTCTAGTTTTCTGCCAAGGACATCCCAGCGCTTAACGATTCGTCTTCCTCTGTTGCTGCACAAGCCAGCCAGACGATGAATCCGGTGCACAGACACCCGGGTAACTGGCTCTTGCTGCAGGGCTGTGCCAAGGCCTACCTGGTTGCACCCTGCGGGAGCCAATGAAGGAATTAATTAGCGCGCCCCACCAGGGAGCTGCCAACTCATCCCACCCACACCTTTGACCTGGGGAGAGAGAGAAGGAGGAAGCTTGTCGCTGTGGGTGGGAAATATTTTTTTTTTTTTGCGCGCGCCGCGGTGGCCTCCTCCGGTTGTTTCTGTTGTTGCTTGTTTTCTATCACCCCCTTAGCTTCATACCTACCCTTTTTACCTTACCCTTGGGTGTTTGGGTTCGTTCTTGAGACTGAGGCTGGCTGTCTGTACGTTACGTGGGTAGGTATTGCTCTAGAAGCACGCCAACCGGACTGACTGACTGCAAGTACCCGGGAACTTTTACGATTCGAGGGTGCTGTCTGTTCGTTTGCGAGACAGATCCTGATCCTGATCCTCTATCTCGTGGTCGCTTCTACCCGTCGCCCGCCGTTAACAAGGCATCGAAGTGCATGAGCAAAAAGAGGTCGTTTGTTTGCTGAAGAGCGTGGCCCACTCTCTATCGTTACTGCTGCCTACGATCCTTAGTGGAGCATTCTATTGCTTCTGCGCAGTTACACTACTCCTAGTAGTAGCTGTACCGGCGGTGGTAGTAGAGGAGTGTGTAGCAGTAGTACTTGGTAGTAGCTCTACTATCTGACTACCTACAATTACCTAGGCGTCCTGGACTATCGTGGGTTTTTTTCCCCCTTCCTCTCCGTTTGTTCTATTCCCAGCTTAATCTTGAAATCACGTATGGTTTGTTGTCCTTTTTAGCCTTCTATTCCCTATCCGTCCGCACACGCACGCTGTCACATCCCTCATCCCATCCCCCATCGCGACTACCCCCGTCCTCATCATCATCATCAACGTCTTCCTCATCCTCGTCACGCTATCGACGACATCCCCTCCTGTCCGTGACCCCTCCCCCACCTATCTACCGAGAACCCTCTTTCCCATCCAGATCACTTTTACTCTTCCTCATCCCATCTCTCCAACGGCTTCGTTGTTGACTCTCTCCCTCCCTTCCCCCATCTCCTCGCTTATTGCGCCCAGCGCCCTTGCCGCAGTTTATCCAACAACCTTTTCCGTCACAGGCAACGGGATCTCAGCTGACCTAACTACCACAGCAGTACCGCCATTCTACGTATCTACCCATAGACGATAAGGATATCTTTTTGTGTGTTTTTATTTCTACATAGAGACATATTCTTCATAATACTTGCTCGTCACTTTTTTTTTTAACGAGTTTTTATTTTTTGACGTCTACCTACTATTACTTTACTTTTTTTATTCCCCATCCTTATTACGAAGAAGACGAAAAATCTTGTGTGTTATTAGCCGTTCTTCGTCATCGTTCATCACGCATCTCCTCCTATTATTGTCTTCACCGTCTAGGTATCTACTTGTCCCTATAACCGGCCAATCAACAGTATCCCCACCCCGCAGCTTCCGTAACAAAACGTACGTGAGCGATTTTTCCCCGCTTTCCCGGCCCTCTGACGGAACAATACCTTTCTATTATTCTCCGTCCTCGCTCATCATATTCAACAGTGCTTGTCCTTTTTGTTTTTCTTTTCTATCTATCACTGTAATCCATCTACCTACCTGCCCAAAACCCCCATAACCTACCTACCTACAACCGCAAATGGCCTAGATTCTAACCTTTCACGTGAACTGTATAGTTATTTTAGTCTATACCCGCCCACTAGCTTAAGCTATCATGTCGTCCCAACAGCAGCAACAGCAGCAGCAGCAGCAGCAGCAGTCGAGCTCATCATTCTTCGACTTCACCCCCCAATACCCACAGGAAGACTTCACGAGTGCCCCAACCACACCCAACCTCACCGCCGAACGCGTAGAGGGCATAGGCGGCGGCGGCGGCGGAGGTGGTAATAATAACAGCGGGAGTGCTGGCTCCCTCAACGGAGCCGGGGGAGGCGGCGAGTCCCCGGCCCAGAGATATAATAATCCAAACCAGCACTCGGAGCGACTGATCGATGTAGACAGCCCAGAAAACTCACCTGTAAAGTCATACTCGCAGCCCATTCCCATCCAGCAGCAGCAGCAGTCGTCCGCTGCGGCTTCGCCCTCTGCAAGGTCGTTGTCGTTTACTCAACCACCTGATATAAATAATAATTCAAGCCCGAGCCACCACTTCACAAAGCCTGTTCTCCCACCGCCGCCCCCACAGCAGCAGCAGAATAGTAGTAGCAGTAATAACCAGCAAGCCCAATCATCGCCCGTCCACAGCGGCTATTCCCACCCCAGCACAGCGCAGCGAACAACCTCCTACGGCAGCACCAGCAGCCAGCAACAGCAAGACCCCACCAAGCACTCCTCCACCCAGCCCCAATCCCAGAACCAAAACCAAGCACACTCGCCCGTCCACACATTCAGCAAGCCCACCCCGCCCTCACACTCCAGCCCCGTGCAGCCGCCATACCCAACCCACCACACCAGCACCCACTTCCCCATGCCCCCCACGCCCGTGGCAGCACCAAATCAGACCCCCGCCTTCAACCAGGGCTATCCCCCGCCCGCAAGCGTCACAAGTAACTCCTCGCAGCCACCACTATACAGCAACCACCGCGAGGCCCAGCCCGCACAGCACGCCGGATGGCCAGACCAGCCGCCGGCAGACATGAGCATGCGCAGCTTACAAGAGGGGTCGGTGATTGAACGCGGTGCCGCCGCGGCCGCCACAAATAGAAGGAACCCCAGCGCTAGCAGAGGCACCGGCGGACAGGGTGGTAGTGGTGGCGGTGATGCGGGGGTTATCCAGCGGCCTACACCGCCGCAGCAGCAGCAACAGCAACAGCAAAGTGGTAATTACAGTGATGGGCAAGGCCAGGGACAAGAGACGGAGCGTGAGCGCGAGATCCGCGAGATCCATGAGCGCGAGCGAGAGCGTGATAGGCAATGGGAGCGCGAGCAGGAGAACCAGCGGAATCTAGGAGGCATGGAGCAGCAGCAACAGCCGTCATTCAGTACCCGCCAACAGCAACAACAGCAGCCAGCGTCGCCGCAGTATATCAAGAGTACGTTCAACTACCAGCAGCACCTGCAGCGGCAGATTCTCAGTGGGTCGACGTCGCCGCGGGGGAGGCTGGGGTATCAGCCGCCGCCGCTACCAGCGAGCGTGTTGCAGCAGAGCAAGAATACGAGCCCGCTGAGCACGAGGGATATGTATGGTAAGCCCAGCGGGCAGGGCGGTGGTGGGAGCGGTAGCAGCGGGAATGTGGGGACGCTGCCCCACGCGGGGTCGAGTCCGGCACAGCAGCAGCAGCAGTATGGCGGGAATCAGTCGCAGTCGCAGTCCCAATCGCAGTCACAGTCCGCAGAACGGAAGCCTAGTTTTGGAGCTTCACAGAGCCCGAATGCAGGAGGAGCAGGAGCATATAGCAACAATGCCCCGACATCGAGCCCGCACAACCCCGCCCAATCGCCGCCGGTCAACTACAGTGGCGGCTCCCCGCACGGCTCCGGCACCAGCTCCAGACCGCCGGCGAGGAACCTCCCGTACAGCCCGCCACAGGCTGCACAGCCATCACCGCACAGAGAGCAGGAGAAAGATAGAAAAAGACAACAGGAGCAGCAGGAGCGGGACTGGGAGCGCGAGCAGCAGCAGAGAGAACTACCACCACTCAATACCCAACAGCGAGATCGTGACAGAGATAGTTACCATCACCCACACCCACTGCTCACGCCGCTGCCCGACGGTCCTGCACCGCCGCCAGCGCCAAGTGTGCCGCCGCCTGACACGCCCGGCAGCGAGTTCGGCTCGCCGGCTATGGGTCCATCGTTCTTGAAGCAGGGCGGGTATCGAGGCCTTATTGGGCTGGGGCTGATGAAGAAGCTGCGCGACACAAGGGAGGAAGGTGAAGGAGGGACGCCGACGGGGTTCTTGGGAAGGAAGAGCCATATGAAGAAGAACTCTGACGAGAGAGGAGGTCCGCCGCCGCTCGGAAAGAGGACAGGAAGTGTCGGGAGTGGGCTGGGGAAGGGTGAGCGGCCAGGGAGCGCGGAGGAGGACGATCCGATTCCGACAGAGTATAGGCCGCAGAAGAGGATCGATGAGGAGGTCGGTGAGGGTGAGGGGGAGAAGAGAGCAGGAGGAGGGAAGAAGGGCTTGGGCTTGGGGTACTCATCGACTACAGGGCCGCCGACACAGCAGACAATCGGGAGTGGCCCACAGTCGCAGTCGCAGTCTCAGAACCAACCTCAGTCACAGTCCCAGAACCAGAACCAGAACCAGAACCAATCGCAGTCCCAGTCCCAGTCTCAACCTCAATCCCAATCTCAGTCCCAACCTCAGCAGTCTCAGTCCCATTCACAGCCCCAACCGCATCCTCCCGCCGGAATCTCTCCCAAGGCCCAACAAGGCTACGGACGACCTCCTCTGCAGTCAAACTCCTCCCAACGGAGTCCCGCAGAGGTCGGACTCGGAAACTACCTCTACTCGAAACCGTCACCGTCGCAGCAGATGTCTCCAGGAAACTCGTCCAACCCTAACCCACGGTTCCCCGGTGCCAATCATAACCACCATGTCACCTCGCCGCTCTCCGGAGGCGGCAGCGCAGGATCTGCAACCAGCCCCAACAGCAACAGTGGTGGAAACATCGGTAACGGTATGAACACTGGAAGCACCAGGGAGAGCGTGATGCGAGGTCAGTGGGCAGACACCACTGCTGCCGTTGCACGCCCAGTCCAGCAGCAGGAGCAGCCGCAGCCTGGGTGGTTCGACAACAGCCAGCAGAGGGTTGCGAGCGGTGGAAGCCAGCCCAGCATCCCGCAAGGACCACCGCCAGGACCACCGCCGCCGCCACAGCACCAGCAGAATACCTACGATGGTGATAGCGGGCCCTTCAAGGCATTTACGCAGAACCTCCAGAAGCCGCTACTGTCGCAGCAGCAGACCATGGCGGCACAGAACCTGCAGCAACAGGCGAGAAGAGTGCGGGTGCACTCGCCGCCGAACTTTATGGATGATGATGAGACCGATGACCAGGGCACGAATCCGAGCGAGAGCGCGACGCCAGAGCCGAGGATGATGGGCAATCAACCCCCCCGCGTGGGGTCTGATGAGGAGGTGTTGTATCATGGTCTGCAGGATCTGCTGCCACAGCTCCCGGCGGAGCATATCCAAAGCCTGCTCACGTTTGCGTTGTATCTGTGCGACGATGCCGCGGTTGCGGAGAAGGCAAACAATGTGCATTTGACCGGAACTGGGGATCTCGGACACCAACTTGCGGTGATCCGGGAGAAGAGGTTGAGGAGGTGGAAGGAGTGGGTCGGCGCCGAGGAGATGGAGAGAGGGAGACAGGTCGGGTTGACACCTGGCCATAATATCAAGAAGAAGGATAGCGGAGACTCGAATCCATTTGATCGTGATAGTAGTGACGACGAGGATCGCGAGGAAGGCGGTCTGGGCTATGAAGGGATGCAGCCGCTTCCTCCGCCACCAAGATTGCCGGAGATTGAGAACTTGGATCTCAAGGCCGCCGGAATGGACGCATTTGGCGGCAGACAGCACGGGTACCAGCAACAACAACACCACCACCAGCAGCAGCATCACCAGCACCAACAGCACCGCGGTAACTACGACCTCAGATCCGAGCAGACTCCAAGCCCGACACCGACCATCGACCAAGTTGCAAATGCACCCAAGGTCGACCTGGAGCTGCAGATGCCCAGGCCCGTTCCCAGCGTCCCTGCAATCCGTATCGACCCCAGTGCCAGAAGAAGACTATACGACGACGACGCCTCTACAGTAGTCAGTGAAGCCCAATCCAAGGGCGGCGACAATGAGCAAATCGGCCAGCCAGGGGCGACACCATTTCCGGTCGGCTACAAGGGACCTGGCGGCGACTACGGCCGCGAGATCCGGCCCATCGATACAAAGCCGCTGTCTGCGATCATTGGCATCTTCAACAGGGGTAGTGGCGGAAACGGCGACAACGGAATCGATCCGCCAAGCTCTGCCGAGATTCCCCAGTTCCTGCACATGGCGTATGCTGCGCTCGATACGGCCATGAACAGCCCTAGCCTTGACACATATCTCAGCGAGGCAAGGCGTGCCCTGGAAAACCAGACGAGCCAGCGGCTGCACCAGTTCCAGAACGAGAGCCACCAGCGGAGACAGAGGACGCAGGCGCAGACGGCACAGCTGTACAATACCGGCAGATTCACGTTTGCTGATATCGAGCGCATGCGAGACGAGTTTGAGCAGGAGGAGGCGAGGCGCAAGATGGAGGTTGATACGGAGATCTACCACATCTTTGAGAACGAGTACGTCGAGGTTGCATACAAGGATGTCAAGGGTCAGCTTGAAGTTCTCGGCGGGAAATGGTATGAGGAGGTCAAGCTCTGGCTTCTTACCGCGTCGTCCCGGCAGAGCAGCACCGAGGGTACGGCACTTGAATATCATCTCCTCCTAGAAGCTATTGATCTCCTAAATAAGCTTCATATCACGATGGAGGAGCATGAGCACGTTCTCCAGTCCCTTGTGTCGGACCGCAATGCAAGGTACTTGCAGGTTTCGGTGCAGCCGCTTTTGTCGGTGGGTGAGACGATCAGGGCTGCGGATGCGGAAAGAAGGTTCTGGCTAGATGAGAGCGAGAGACAGTTGAGAGGCAAGATGGAGGCGGTGAAGAGAGGAAAAGAGCACGAGAAGGGCGTTGAGAGAGTCGTTGGGGAGGTGGTGAAGGGCCTCAGGAGTAGGTTCCGAGTCGTTGTCGATGGTGTATATGCCGTGATATTCCAATTCCGTAAGTACAACCACTCCCTATCGTAGTCTTTCCGCAGACAAAACTCTTTGCCGTCTAAGAAACCTTTACTAATATCCTTGCCAGCCCCGAGTGTCTTGCCCCAACTCTTCCGCCGTTTCTTCGACGACAACGCCGGCGCAATCAACTCCCCCGGCCTTCCCCAAGAACACAACAGCTCCCCCGCCTCCTCATTCTATGTCATCTCCAAGGAGGTCCTACAAGCCATGGTCGACGCTGTGCAAACACTCGGCGAGATCGTCGGTCTCATCAAGCTCGCCATGGACTTCCAGAACGCGCCACAGATCCGCGTCTGCGAAGCCACCACCGCCCTTCAAGTTGCCGAAGAGCACGCTCACAACAGCGGCGTCACCGCGCCTGCCGCAACCGCCGAAGCATGTTCCCAGGGGCTCGCCCTCCGTCTTCCGGCTGCGCTCAAGCGCGCCCGCGAGGAGCAGATCGAAATGGGCGAGAAGGCGATGGGCGAGATGATGGAGACACTGCGGAAGCTGCAGAACTTCCTGACTACCGTCAGTGCGAAGGGGGGTAGGATCGATTTTATGGGTGTGGCACCGCCGCCGATGGCGCAGAGCCAGAGCCAACAGAGCCAGAGCCAACAGAGCCAGCAGAGTCATCAAAGCCATCAAAGTCACCAGAGCAACCAGAGCCAGCAGCATACGCCGCAGCAGCAGCATCAGCACCAGCATGGGGGACAGCAGCTGCCGAATCTCCCGATGCCGCCGATGGTACAAGTCGGTCAACAACAGAACTGGAATGGCGGGTCGGGAGAGGGTGAGTGGGGGTATGGTAGAGGTGGCGGCGGCGGTGGTGGGTTGGGCGGTGTAGGACTCGGTGGTGGACAGTCGGGTCTGAGTACAATGATTGGTGGGCTTCGATCGGTAAGTCCGCATGCTGCCCATTTATACATTCTTGCGTGAATCATAGCTAATAAGATACTTTTTTAGGGACAAATGAGAGGCGGCGGAGCAAACAGTTTACTGATCTCGCCAGGGAGCTATGCTCCTAGTGGATACTCGCCCAACGCCGGAGCCAGTGTGTGGAACAGCCCTTACTAGGAGGGTGAAGTGCGTGTCAAAAGTTGTGTAGGATTAGATTATCGTGATGTGTCATGGGATATGGGTGAGTATATGTCTTATAGAGTATTTAAGTAGTTGTACGGCGGTAATGGAATAGAAAGCTCGTTGATAATGATGTGTTTTCTCCTGTGACTTGAACTCGATTAGCTGTGGAATCCGTAAAAGTAGAGTGGTAGAGTTGTACCGACGACTCTAGGCCATTATTTAGCTTCTATCAAGGTTGAGGATCTAGCAAAAAGAGGGATATGGTCGCCTTCTGTCCTCCATATTGACTAAGAGCGATGATTGTCTTCGTGTGTCCGTATAGTAAAGAATGGCTGTATTCTAACAGAAAGAAAGCTTTGATATATGGTGGCGAAATGACACGTAAGCAAACCACTTTATCCAATCGTTCCTGCGGCACATAATTGCTTTTATCCGCAATCCAGAGTATATGACTAACGTTCTGCTTCACGGACGGGTTGCTATTCGAGATTTAGACAGCATATTCGGAGAGTTAATCAAGATCCGGAGTAGGTACATACGTGTGGTGCGTGCACGTTTTGGAGTGAACCAGGAGTTCAATATCTCATAAATATATAGATATATCAAGTATGCAATATGGATTTAAAAGGGTTTTATTCGCTGAGTTTTGGATCGTTTCTTTTTGTGGGTCAGCTAAAAAGAAAGGTTATGGAGGTTATGTTGGTAGTTATATTGGAGGTTACCGTTTCTTTTTGTTATTATTCGCCCGGTAGTTGCGATATATTTATATGATTTGGGATTGTTTTGATTGTGATTTTGATATATATATGTTTACCTCCATCTCATTACCTCCTTGGCAGTGTAGAGCAGCGGCAGTACACCTCTCTAACTTCATTATCCCCACCGGCCGAAGGCTGGAAACAGCTTGTAGATTTTAGTTATATATGAATCTCGGAATTAAGAAGAGAGCTCAGGCTCGATAAAGTAAAGCAGAGCTCCAAATGATTCATGTATGCACCGACGATGATAGAAGAGGAAAGAAGACGAAAAATAGGGAAACAAGTAGAGACAAGTCTGGCTCATGAGGACACCGTAACCTCTGTGACCTGTCCTCCGTCACAACTCCCACTGTGTCCGTTGGCCACTAACGCGTTACACTTGTCCACGCCTGCGCCACAGCATGTGCGAGTGATATTACATGACTACACTTATCTACCCCGAGTACTAAGTAGTGGCTTATAATTGGTGCCAAGCCCCAGAGCACTGCTGTGTTTTCTTTGTGTAATATGCAATGTGGCCCTTTGGACTAATCACGATAAGTGACTTTATTAATTTTGGCGTGCTTCAATTATGCCGCTCGATTCAAACAAAAAATAAAACAAATACGAGCACGATCTCAAAGTACAAGGTGCACGTGGGGATCGAGCTATCGCTCCTATACGGCGCTCGATCGAGCTTTGTACATACATATATGTACGTACATGTATTTATTTATGGCTGGGGCGTTTCATTCGTTGTGCATACAAATATTGGTAGTGTAGGGTTAGGTGTATTGTGATATTGCACCTACCTTTTTCAATTTTTGCTTGATGCACCAACATGTTTAGATAGGCGCATAAATTGGGGAGTACATTTAAGTCTGTCTCTTGATTACATGTATGATTGGGCTGACTCCTTCAGCTTTTTAAGTTTCCCTACCTGTCTCAAGTCTGGCAGAATAGATGGCCCCCATGCTGATCGTCGAGGAGTACGGTACCATTGAGAACGTGGCTCCTCCGTCAGTGTGAAGTAAGCGATGTGGACAATCTACACAGAGAACAGGTCTCCGCAGTTGTGGAAAAGACAGATGTGTGCAATGAAGGTATAAGAGGAGGATGAAAGGGCTCTTCTCCACTACACAACCAGTACAACAACGGAATTGTCTCTTGTGCTCTTCGGCAGATTATCCCCTGGTACGGCTTTAACGTGGGAGCTCGGCATCTCTGCACGCCGAGCACAATAGCAATGTGCGAGCAACTGGAAGCATTTTTCACTGTTGGACTGGTTTTCTTTTTCTCTCTCGTGCTGGGGTTTGGATTAGCTCTGTTCAGCTTGTGGTTAGGTGCGTGGAGTGCAACACAATACCCATTCGACGAAGAACGCAGTGCATGTACGAGAGAAGAGCGCTGAGATCACTCAATTCTCTTGCTCGCTACTATTACCTGTATGTATCACGTCTAATTTCTCTCACGGCTAGATCGCGTTTCTTATCTTTGCAGAGAACTGAACTGTCTCGAGCATCCGTATACGGCACTGTGCTGGGCACTAGTTACCAGACTTGGGTAAAGACTAGAACCACCACCGAAGCTTTTTATGTCTAATTCTGGCCTATTTGCACCTCACATCCCTACACCAAAGCGCACCCTCCCGCACTCCACTTTCAGTGCATGTATGCTGCCTGTACACAAAGCTTCGTATCCACTATCCAGCATACCCGGTTTTATACCAGGGTACCTAGATGGCATGGGCGTATTAGAGGAATAACATCTTCCCTGTTCATCCCATTCTCGAGGCAATCTGGGATGTGTATGTTGTCATCTACCACTACTGTACATATACCCAGCGGATGATCCTTGGAAAACAAACGGCCATTTAAACAAATCCTCCATCGCACCTTCAACGCTTCCACACTTTTCTCGCTCTATTACTCTATTACTCTTTTGCCTTATGCCCTCCCCTGGGTAAATTTTTACGCTAGCCAATCACACCTGGTGGCCATCTTTTATCTCCGCCCTCGTAAAGGCACAAAGTCTTTTCTTTAACTCCGCGCAAGCGTGGGTTCAGTGGAAGGAGATACCAGAATTATCCCGTGTTCTAGTGGAGAAACTAGCTTTGCAGTAGAGAGTACATGTATGTATGTACATGTATGTATGTCCTGAATCTCAGCTCTTCTTCCACCATACCAGCTAACCTTTATTGATACATGTAGACAATCGTTTTCTAGCGTTCCTCATACACAAACTGTACCTTCGTCGCGACACGGCTGGGAGTGGGGGGTTACGGGTAATTATTAGGGCATATGTCTTGGTCGGAAGTTTCGTTCCTACCAATTAGGCGATCTTCCTACAACCAAGATCTTTACTATCTCTTAAACACAATCATCACACCGCGCCCCCGAACCCACGACGCGACTAGGCACCCATGTCCTCTGCAGAATAATAGCTCGCCCCACGCGTCTAGATACGTAAAATATCACCACCGTGGCCCCTAGAGTAAATCGCTCCCGCGTTTTTCTCTAAAATTTTAGCTGCTGCTCTCGCTGGGTCCACCGTACACGTCAAGGGGAACTAAAATGATGTGTGTTTGTGTTGATCAAGTCTATTGTTGGAACAAACGATCGAGGGTATGGGTATGAGTTGTAAGTCAATTGTATGATTCACATACTAAAGAAATAAAAAACAATTACTGCAGTGGCTTCCGGGAGTTCGTTCGTGTGGGTTGATAATGTGTGTGGGATTCATCAGCAGTCACTCGGCCTTGGCACTCTGACGATATTTCCAGGTGTTTTATTTTCCTGCATTCACTACCATTTAGCGAGGAAATGATTCACTTCAGTTAACATCCTTTCAGCAATATTACTGTGATGGAATTGATATCTCTTGACTCTCTGACCCCCGGGCTTAAATTAGAATGAGGCTAGTCTTTTCCTGTCTTGGCTCGTGTTCCAGAACTCCTCAGCTTTGTCCCGAGATCGGCAAAGCGAGATCGACCGGAGGCCCTGATATATCGCTATATAAAAGCTTTTTATTAGATCTGCCACTGCTCCAAAGTCTGGTCAAGACACACTAGTTACCACGGTAATTCCCACCTCCAAGCTCCGCAAGCGCAGGCGCGCGCACGAACTAAAAATACCCGCGCCTTCGCAGAAACAAGACAAACTACGGTTTCTGTAACTACAGTATCGCCGTACTTTTATCCTCTTCTTCCAGCCCAGACCCCCAGCTCTTCCTAATTCACCCATCCGATACTCCCCGCCCCCCCCCTCTCCGCCGGGCCGTACTCACCGACGCAGTACGTCCCTTCCACACCCACAAACTCCCTTCCACGACCCAAAACCCAAGAATCTTTTCACAGCTTCACTTTCCTGAGCCTCATGTTTCCTGCACAACTCTCCTTATTGACACCGCATCGCGGACATGCCACGTGAGATGGAGCCGCAACGCAGTCAGGGTGCGCAGGGCAAATGCGCGCAGTGAAAAAACAGAAAGTTGACGTAAGTGCGCGTGCAGATCTGACAGCTAGATCTCGAGGTGACGTTGAGTGTGACGGATGCCGGTAGAGTTTGTTTGTTTGTGGTGATGTAGGAGTTTGGGGTGAGTGAGGTGAAGGTGCTGACGGGGTTGATGTTGATGATTACGGTCTGGGCGGGTTTGTTCCTGATTAGTGTTCATTCCCTCTACCTCCACCAATGAATGGCGCGCAGCGCGCGGTCGGTTCGGTGGCTGGTGGGTGGTACCGATAAATATGTAAATAGATTTAGATTATGGAGAGAGGGGGGGGGGTTTCATGGGGAAAAGAAAAAGTTTGAAGAGAGATGGGGTACATATTAAAACTAATGCAGGTGAATCGCGAATCTACACAAGAACGGACGAACTTCCAAAGGGGGTAATTTCTACAGTATATTTTTTCTCCCGCTGAAACATCACGGTGGTGTAATGTTTCAAAAGAAGCAACAAAAAAAAGGTTTTTGTATTGTGTTGTTGTATGACATTCTCGTTATCTCGAACAACCCCCGTGACCACGCGCGCGCAGATCAGTAAACCCATTCACAAACTAGCACTCGACCACCCCGCCCCCTTCTCCCTCGGGTCCCCCAGACAAAAAATGGTACAGTATGTAAGTAGCATAGCATCCCTACCACCGCATCACATCAAACGGCACGCAAAAGCATGTACGAGTCTTCTATGTAAGTATCTGCTAGGTATGTATCGAAGAAGTCGGTACTTACGCATCCTGTCATGATTTCCACCCAGGTAGGTAGGTGGGGCAAGTCCATCATTGGCTCCCCCCTCCTTACTCTGCATTCGTTCGTAGTCAGGACTATCATGCGAGCGAAAAAGCAACATGCCTTACATACATCTTGCCCTATCACTCAGCCCAGCCTTGGCAATGGTCGACCCCTCAATTTGTGGAGCAGGTAGGTAGAGGTAGGTTGAAGCTAGAGACTCGACTCGTAAGCAGCACTCGTTCCTCCCAAGCAACGCAAGCTATGGACTGGAATCTGCGTATTGTAGCAGCTTACCTATGCCAAATTTTCTAACCCCCCCCCCCCCCCCCCCTCACTCCCCCACTCCTACATGAATCGGATAGGAGAATAGCGGTATCCTGGTCCCTGGATTAGATTCGAGCTCGAGAACCCTTAGTCCTTGCCACACTCGTACTCCACTCCAGAGAAGGGGGTCACAGGCCGGTAGATCATACACTGGCCTGGCCGGTTCGGCCCCCATATCATGCATCGAGCTCACTGATTTGACTGCTTCTGCTTCTGCTGCCCTGCTGCGTACTTCTAAGACATTTATTTGTACCTCCTTTCCCTTTCTCTTTTTTTTTCTTCTTGCGTTGCTACAAGTTTACAATTAACCAATGATTGCAAATCAGCCTGATGGGATGTCCACCACCAATCATGCGTTGTCCAAAATAATTAAAGTTAATCTCTACATGTGTAGAAATATTAACATGCCTAAATAATCAGCAAGGATAAACATGAAGCGAGAGCCTAGGTAACTTATATCATGTAGTGTACTTCACCTGTAGGTGGTCCATGGCGAACCAACACGTGGATTCGAAGAGGGTGTGAAGTAAGGATTGATATAGATATGGCCTTAGTGGTGATTCACGATTCCGAATTCGCGGTATCTCTTGTTGCCTCTCTCTCCTTCCCCTCGGGTTTTCTTTTTTGTTTCACGCCGTCCCGTTATTTTCATCGGTTCGTGCCGGGCCGTCTCCTGTTGGCCCAAACCGCGCGCCTATGTAACAGGTGGTAACCAGTACTTGGTTGGCATGTAGGTACTCTACTCAAGGCACCATAAACAGGGGGCATCGAATCATACAAATGCATGCACTTTTTCGTCTCCCGTGCTCGCACGCGCTCACACACGAGTCGACCGTCTTATATTGCTCGAACGACATCGCTCCCTAATAATCCCTTCCCCGCACTTGAAGCCCTTCCTTTCTGGCTGTTAGGTATTTTAGTTTAATTTTGCTTTTTCCTCGGCAACGGGCCGATGTCAAATCAGCTCCAAATCGGAACCCCGGCCTAAGGTAGTTTCTTTTCAGCTGTGTCTTGGCGATTTTTAATGGACATATCATCTGCTTTCCGCTTCCACTCCCCCCCCCACACCTCCGCCGTTGCAGATTGTTCTGTTCTGTTCTGTTCTGTTTTCCATCCGTTCCTGAGCTGAGAAAGAAAGATCGAGAGCTCAGCCCTTTATTCTTTCTGCCTTCCAGATTGACCTTCCCCATCTGTCACTTCACATTCCCTGCACCAAAAAAGAAAACGATAAAAGCACAGCAATAAAGAAAGTTGCGAGTACTTTCACTGTCCGCCGGAGGAGATACAATACAGCACCCACCAAGTATATCGATTCAGCAGGCGGATCCATATGGTGTTTTCGCGCTGGTTCGTGTACCAGGACGAGCGCAAGAGGCGAAAAACCTCGAAGGTCTCCGAGATTTCTCATGTCTCCGAGGTCTCTCAAGTCTCTCAGGACTCTTCAGGTCGATTGGTGGCGCCGGTACGAGTAGTTAAACGTGATCTCGAAAAACCACTTCCACCGCTACCAGTAAGTATACATACCTGCCGATATACTTCGTTGTTAAGTTGTGAGCCCTCGCTTGATTACATGTAATTTGTTTCCCTTCCCAGCTGTTGACTAAATGTTCCTTCCAGCAACAGAGGCCCAGGCCGCGGCCTGTAAGGTATACACCATATAGCGAACCACCACCAATACCCTCTCCACCAAAACCAAAAAGATGGTCGACGCCTAAATTAATACCGAAACCGAAACCGAGAAAGAGACCGTGGATGATGGTTTTATGCCCGTGTTGTACATAGATACCTAGAAAATTTCCTTTTAATTTTGTTTCATTTCAGTCATTCATTTATCTTCAGATTTCCTTTGTTTTGGTTTTATTTTCTTTACTTTCCGGTTCGTTCGGTAATCTAGACCTTATCGGAGGTCTAATATTGATCATGAGTGCTAGCTGGCTGGCTAGCTGTGATGTGTGTGGTGTGGATAGCGATTGTTTTTTTGACGAGATACCATTTCCTTTTTTTCTTTTTCTTTTCTTCTGTTTCTCCTGTAACATCAGGAACACAGCTGATATTTTTGAAGCAACCCCCGCAATTTTCTACTGTCTTCTTTTTCTTGTTCCATGTAACTTTCGTCCTTCACCGCGGCGCGCTGGAGGTACGATGACGCTTTCTCTAAACCCTTTCAGGTGTGTGACAGGGGACGGACAGGGACAGGGCTAGTCGTTATCAACGCCAAGACAGCAGCCTATCAGGAAAGTCCGTGCGCAGCATCTAACCTATTATTAGTCGAGCTGCCGGTTAGGTAAGGTGGCTTTTTTACTAATCGGATCTGTGACGTGACGTGACAGGTGGCTAAGGTGCCGTCCAAAAAGTGCTGGTCCTGATTCAGTTCTCGATCGGTCTGGGGAAGAAAAAAATTATGAGCCGAGAACTGGTACGAGTAGAAGCACTGTTGGGATTCAACTAGCAAGTGCAGCTATGTATTCTGTGCATTGATAACAAAGAAATGTGAGTGGTGTTTTTCTTAAATGCATGGTTTCTCACTCACCCAGCAGCACTCAGTAGGACTCCATAGGTCGTACATATAAGCCAGTATCTTTATTGAATCCTGAAGGATGGAGGACAGAATCATCCATTGATGTAAGAGATGGATGAGGCAGCAAAAAAAAAAACGCCTGAGCAATGTCGACCATATCATTCAAGATCGTGCGGCAGGGTATGAGATGCATATGTGATGTCGTATGTCGATGTTAAGCAAGAAGTGCCTAATCGGATTCGAAGAGAGGATTTGCATGAAGAAAGGTTTATGACAAGTAAAAGAAACGCGCAAAGTGCAACATCAGAAATGAAGGGAGGAAGAAGAGAAGTGTTCTCCTCTTTATCCAGCCTGATGGCGCTAAGAGAAAAGAACATTTAGTCATCAAGAATATGACAAGTAATACAGAAATTTAAACTTTGAATACCCCTAACGATACATGTTGGTTTCCTATGAAGATCCGATCCCTTAGTGGGCACAATGGCTGAGAAGGTTGAGATGAACTACATTGTCAGGAAACCCCGGTATACACCATGAATACAAGGTCCATACTAGAAACGTTTGCTAGATTGTATATGACCCCTTTACAGTTCGTTACTCAATCATCCAAGGTACGCATTCGTTTATCTTTTTTTATACATTTTTTCTTAGAAAAAAAAAAAAAAAGAATTGGGTTGCTTGCATGCGCCTCTATCTACACCGCCTAACAAGTCTACGGAAACCACATTGATCAGATTTCCGCAAGTTCAATCTACTGAAAGACTGCTTGATGTTCAGTTCGCCCTCATTACCATCAACGAGCCAACAATGTCATACAGATGGCATATTACTGGAAGAAGTAAAGGACACCAAGGATCAAGTAACCCCAAGTAACGCCAATCATTCTGGCGCCAGAATCAACTTCCACTCCAACCCTTGGAAGTGCGTGATCATGAGTACCCGTCTCCACTGGCCATATTTCGGATTGTGTTGGGCTTAGAGTTCGGGACTTCTCGTTCGTAGAGGCGATGGCTGAGGAAGGAGGACCAGTTGAAATAGGATCTGAAGCGCTCAAAACTATGAGGCAAGACTTAGCTTAAAAAACAATAAAAATTATAGTTACAAGAACAGATAAAGCAAGTACTAAAAAGACAATCATAGATGTTGTTGTAACACGAGCAGACTTTGCAGTTGTTGCTTGTCCGGGTGCTCCGGAAGGGGATGCAGATGTATTAGAGATAATTTTCATGGAAGGGACGAAGGGGCAAAGATACCTTGAAACGATTGAGAAGAGGGCGCCGGTGGTGCTATAATATTACTATAGCTAGTAGTGTCACTCTGTGGAAGTGGTAGACTTGATGGACTGGGCGATGGCGGTGGTGGGCTCGATAGATTGGGCCGTGGCGGCGGTGGTGGGCTCGACGATTCAGACGGCGGGGAGCGAGGCGGTGGTGCGGTACCAGTAGTGGTTGAAGAGGTCTGTGGTAAAATAGCAGAAAACGGAGATGCGGGGCGTCGTGGTGGTGCAATATCAGTGGTGGTTGAAGATGAAGAGTGTGATAATGTAGTAGAAATAGTAGATGGTGGGCGTCGTGGTAATGATGGGAGCTGCGTGGTTATGGTTATGGTGGTAGTAGTAGTTCTCCGGGACGGCGGCGGCGGTGGGGGAGGAGGAGGGGGAGTAGGTGGTGGTGGGGGTGGTGGTGGTAATGGTGACTGTGTCGATGATGATGATAATGATGCTAATGGTGATGGCGGTGATGTCGGTGATGATATTGATGGTGATGATTTTGGTGGTGATTCATTTACCATAGATATTGTTATGGCTATTATTGACTCCTCTTTGCTGGGCTCAAAAATGTCCTTTGTACACATATCTACTGTAGCTATATTGTAGGCCGCTATCAGAGAGAAAAATTAGCATACGTATATGTATATATACGTACCCCTATGGCTACCGGAAGGAAGATCAAACATACATGGACCCCAACCCTCAATGCAAAATTCATCCAGACAAGACTCGATGCTCTTCCGGAACTCGCCGCTATGGCATACACACCCCCAATCCCTTGACTTGCGACATTCTTCTGGACCAACCGCGGTTCGGCGAGTTGCAATACATTCGTTGGCACAGAGCTGGCTGGTTGCTGGAAGAACGAGGAGTGCGGCAACTAAAACGAATAACATTTGAGTAAACATCTTGTATAGGCTTTTGAGCAAAAGACGAATACCGGTACTGTAAGTGGGCTTTTGTGGGTATTGTGTTATTTATGGCGGCCATTTTTGACAGGTGGTCGTCAATGGCATAGAATAGGTCGAGAGGGCGCCTTGCAAAGAAATGCTTGAAGGGAGTCAAGACTGATAGTACTTGTAGATTATCAGGTGACTCACGCCCTTCTGTGTATTTACAGAGAAAGTGGATATAAAGACCGTTTCTTTCAAGATCGGGAATTAAATGATCCTATTGTTTCAACATGACATAATTATGGGTAGTGGTTGAACTCATGAAGTTGCAATTATTAGTGTGTTTTTTAAATGAACTCTGAATTCCGGGACTCAAGAGAAAGGTGTGGTATCTAGGTCTGTTGCGGGGCTTCTTCAAATACGATCATCAAAAAATAAGATGGGTATATATCGATATTCGATCCTAATACGATAAAATAGAACATGAGTGCTAGCCTCTACCAGAACTCGCGCATTAGTAAGCATATATTGACACAGAAATGATTTTGATGCTACTTTCTATTGGAATCATATCTGAGCTAGCTAAACCACTATCGCATAATCTAAGACCGTACACAACGCATTCCTGGATCGTTCACACATCTTGCATCTCCTCATCCGAATCTTCCTTCAGGTTTGCATCTTTCTTAGCGCCCTCTCCAACCTTTTTGGTCTCCTTATCCTCGCCTTTCTTCGCTTCCGCCCCCTTAGCTTCCTCCCTTTCCTTCGCCGCCGTCAAATTATATCGTGCCGCTCTGACAGCAGCCGCATATTTCGCCCTACCTCTCTCCGCTTCACCCCTCTGCTTTTCCAATGCCTCAATCTCCTTTAAAAGAGGAATATAAACTGGCCTCCATATATCTTCTTTCCCGGTCTGGTTGAATGCAGTGTTGATGGCGGTGATCCTGTCTGTTTTGCGCTCGAGAAGGGGCGCGATCCTCTTAAGCTCGGCCTCAGAGGACTTTAGCGCATTTTCGTAGTTCTTGAGGCGAGCTTCGAGGCTTGCAGTGGCAGAAGAAGTGTTTGCCTGGGAGGCAGGAGTGAAGGGCGAGGTGTACGGCATTTTAGTTGGCGTATGAATGATGTTCTGTAGGTAATAGTCTTGGGGATGTGTCGATGTAGTGCAGTGATAGAGTGTGATGGAAGTCTGGTTAACGCGGTATTTAAGCACTTAATATAGTATGGTGTTTTCAATGTAACTTAAACGCTTGAAATTTTGTTCCCGCAGTTGTCCCTATTCAAGATGAAAACATAAGAGAGATGATCAAGGTGACTTATTTCAACGTTAGCACGTACTGTTTGAAATTACGGAGAGTCTGGGGGGCTCTTGGTAATATAGGTATCTATTGCAAAGACAAAGAAGCAATGGTAACATGCGTCATGGACCATCACTCGGATATATAAATTTAAGGCGGGAGCGAGGCCGCCCGATTGATTGATGGATTAGTAATTGATTAAGCAAAGCCAGTTAAATCGTAAAGACTTGAAGGTCTAGAGAAGATGGCCGACTTAGAATCTTTGGAGAAAGGTTTATGGTTGTCATGTTTGTGTTGGGTCAAAAGGATCATATGTATCTTGTTAGTAGGCATTGTGTCAGCGCGTCCAGAAGGTTTTGATATCACGGATGCGATAAAAATATCATTCTGAGTAGGATCTAGTTAGAACTGTGACTTGACTATTAATATGTTAAGTACCAGCGCGAAGAGATGTACCGTAATGTATTAATGAGGATCGAAATCTTCATATATCACTCGTACATCCCTGTCGAGATTCAGCCCTATATATGTGCATACAAGCATTTTAAATAAGTCTTATCAGCTGATCGGTTACTGGAAGAGCGAAAAAGGCATACCACTAATCTTCAACAACTACCACTCTATACCGCTAACTAGAACTCAAGGGTAGATTTGGATCCCAGGGTTAGGGTTTATAATGCTGATGCAACGTCATGACAGCTAGCATCTAGCTTCGTATGTCCTGGGTTAACTTCTTACCTAGATAATTCCTAGCTAGCTTTGTACCTCGTCCATCAATGTATCCTTCCCTATATATTCATACTTCTCTGGACTGTCATGGACACTGCTACATAATAAGGTGTCCTGCTCTTGGGTATCAGTTCTCTACATCTCAGAATTTGTTGGGAATGGCTTTTGATTTCTTTTTGCTGGTAATGTCCATTTACTCTTCACCCTACTCAAAAGACAATGGGCTCTATGCGTGAGAATCTCGTGCTATATATAAAGTTTTGAGCAGAAAGGGCGCGCGTACTGACCAAGGCTATGTGCATATAATCTTCCAAAAACGGCCATTCCACTTTCTGCGGGCAGCCCTGTATCTCCCAACTATATACAAAATAGGAGATATATAGTCTTGAGGTGGCACCTGAAGCATCTAAAGTAGAGAAACGCTCTCGCTGATACCTTTCTGGATTGCAGCCAACGAATCACGAAAAACGTTACGGCAGTTAACCGTTGGCCGTATAACCATTGGCCGTATAACCGTGTCTACCACCTCATTTAATAAGATATATATGAAGTTGCTAATTTATTGACCTAGTGGTATCGAGTATGAGTACAGTAAAAGCATACTACGGCTCCCCCGGGTCTCGCCACTGTTCACCAGGCATGGCTATGAAGAGGTCCTTTGCGGGTCGAAATCACAGCAGCATCTATATGTACCTATATGGATCATACTGCAGGTCTCCCACGAAAAAACATCCGAAACTACTCGGATAGACGCTAGAGCATGCAGATACAACTGATAAACAACTCGGGTCAACACGAAGTTAAGTAAACATGATTTTAGCTATCTCAGTTCTTGTAACTAGCTAACTTTAAAAAACTACGTCCATGATGCAAAAAAGACCGCCTCCCGCGAATAAGCAAACACGGTACGTACGTACCCTCCCAAATGAATCCTCCTCTAAGTACACGAAACTTCTAAAAATTCGACTGACACAGTCCCTAGTGTAGCCGCCATCCCACCCGTCAAAGTGTCCATAGCCTGTTTGCTCAAGACGAACTTAGCTCCCCTATCGATTGCCTTGAAAATAATTGCCCTGCCCCCGTAGATGATTCTATAGCACTTTCCGCAGTTGGGTGAATTCCAGCCGGGAATCGTAGGGCTAGCACCAACAAATGGGTGGCGTGGGATCGATCCTATAGTAGGGTGGGCTTTACTCAAGCCGTTTACACCGTCGCTGCAAGCTGTTTGATCGGTGGGAAGATTGGGGTTGTCATACATCGTGTCATAGCTGGCGGTGCTTCTTTCTTGGGCAAGTGAAGTACTAGTAGTGAGGGTGAGAAGGAGCAGAATAAGTGTGGGGAATTGCATAGTATATATCTCGTGGAAACAGGGAGTACTTTGGAGAATTAACCTTTGAGTGTAGGATGGGACTGACTGAGGAGGAAGAATTAATCCTCGACGTTGGTGGTTACCACATTATATAGCATTCTCCATCGTGTTGATCAGCTGACTGCACAATACACAATATGGGCGAACCCCTCTCTCTGTTCATGCTTTCCGGAGGCATTTGATCATAGAGCTAGAACTTCCCTTCCTTTGTTTCTGCTGGCCGCTTTCCGGCAGGATAGTCATTTCAACTCGTACAAAGAACCCATATCCTACGGGATGACATCATGATCATGGGAACATTTTCTCAAAGAATATGAGTTCTTCTGGGGGTAAGAAAACGATCTGTTACACGCAAATCTGCCGATTATTCAACTGATATCATGGCACTGAGTTACCAGTCACGGATATTGCTCTTTCGCATTTTCAGGGTAGTGGTACATACTAGTAATGAACTATAGAAAAGGTGTAAATGAAACACTGTTTGGTACGTTTGATGTCTTGTGATGTATTAAGATAATAACTTTGATCTAAAACCTAGGAATGTAGGCTTTTCTGTGCAAGATGGAAATTTGGCCTCTTATGTCCTGTCTCTACAACGAGTATTGAACTAAACAACAGTTACTGGAATGGCTTTGCCATTGATGCCTACATAAATGTAGCGTCAATTTATCAGCAGGAAGTGTATCATTTCGATGTATTATCCTACATCGAATATACCAAGAAATATATCGCCATACACCATTTCCGGCAAAACCAACCATTGCCGCGTACCATTTCTCTATTATCTTAGAGGTTCGAGGGACGATCTGGACTGGCCTATCGTGACTTCAAACTGCTTGAACTGCTCGTGCAATCAAAATAATGGTCAAGGAGACGAGATAAAACGTTTTTGGTAGTTATAATTTTAGTATAACCTGATCATGATGAACCTCACTTTATAATTTACCCGTTCCCATATAAGAGGAGACTGAAGCTGGATGTACTTCCAGTAACGGAGATCAATAAACCGTGACCTGCACCTATCCGCCCGCCAACGGTGCGTCATGACCTTATGAGGACCTCTCGAGACTAGCAACGAATTAATCTGAGGCTTTCCGTCAATATGAGAACAGCAGTCGTACCCGTACCTTGAAGCATTTGAAAATGATAGGGAAGTATCTTAAAACCCACTATAAATACGATTCTATGATAGGATAGAGGGTTGATGCATTCGCAAGATACAAGATATAAGATACAAGATTCAAGAGTTAGCCAAATCGCACGTATCCGGAAGTTAGTTCATCGAGTTACCATTATTCCCCATTTGTTAGAGTGATCATGATTGAAAGCGAGAATTTATATATGAAATCTATGTATCTATGCGTTGAATAACGTTACACACATGATAGATCACCCCCCTTCTTCTTGGCTGGTGACGGATATGGCGGGGGTGGTTGCATGAACAAGTATCATTCTGTAAATTTATTAATAGATATATATGGTCATCAGTGTAGGATAAATGAAATTCCTTAGCATGCACGCGATACATTAGAACTGGATGATTTATCTAAGGTGGAAATAAAAAGGCATCCGTATATGAGTATCTGAACGATTGAATACTCAGCGAGCGGTAGGAGGTAGCGCTAGCTCGGAGCAGAATACCCTGATGCGGCGATAGACTTATAAACATGTGTTTCTACAATTACTAGTAGAAAGGAAGCATGCTCGAGCAAATATCGGAGACATTGTGGAATAATATTGGTCACATGTAATGGCCTTGATTATATGTGACACTGCGGTGGAGGTTGAGTTTGTTTGTACCAAGGGACTCATGTTGATATAGGAATAGAACTACTCTGAGTGGCAACTGATTTTGGTACCTTTTCTTATTTTTACGACGTTCCGGCTCTAGTCACTCGAGACCAGAAACTTTGGTCTTTAGCTGATATTTTTATAATTATTCAGGAGTTACCGCAACATAAAACTAAATTCAAACTATTCGAGCTCTTCACAGACTACATGTCCTTGTCTCGTGAAATAACATAACGTCCTTATTGATGGCAGAAGTTCACAGTACTACACATACCACTGCGTTGAAAGCCTCATGCCCGTAGCCACGGCTCCTCCTTTACTAACACCTCACGCACTGGTAACTCAATTGGCATAAATTCAAAGTCTTCTGCCTGTTCTGGGTCTGGGGAAGTCAACAAATGACCTAGTTGTTCCATGACACGTTGTTCCAGGTTGTCTATTGCCTGTTGTATGATATTGGCGGGTACCGGGTACAAAGTTGGGTGTGTGATATTTGTGTTGTGGTTCATGCAACCGCTTATAAGAATGCTGTTGGTGGATAGCTGGTGGACAGAGCATTTCTCCGTGGCAGGTATGATAAGTGCATAGGCCCGCACTCTGAAGGGCATGCACGTGAGCACACACGAGGAAGAGGCGGGGCGTGATAGTTCCTTGTAGAAGGTGATGAGACGGACATTCTGATTGAATAGGAATTGGCAGTTCTCTATTCGGGACCGAGTTCCTGCATGTCAGAGAGTGCTCAAGCTGAATATATATGAAGTACGAAGGTTTGAGCGGGTAGGTATTCATACCAATGATCTGTTCGCGAGAATAAGAACTCATTGTCTAATAAAACTCAAAGTGCACTTTCTTGGTAAGGCTTGCTGAGGTTTTGCTTGATCCTTTGAAGGTGAGATAGGGAGACGTTGAAATGATATA